CATTGCAATACATTGAAACATGATCCCTTTATTTAAATGGTTCTCTGGTTATAGTCTGGCAGACTAGTGCGACGGGTTTAGAGAGGTCAGGCGTGGTGTTCCTGCCAGTGAACCCCGCCCTGTCAGCGCCCCGCAACCAGGGTAGGCAGAAACTAGCCAGACTGTCCACTGCAGAGATGGCCACCTTACTAAGAGACGTACTCGTAGACGCTACTAGAAGACAACATATTGCCACGTTACAGCCGCGAGGTGAGTCTGAGATTAAATGTAATAAATACTTTACAGTTATTAGTATATTCAAGGTTATTTGTGGGCCAACACTTGAAAGAAATCAGCTAATCAAAGGTGTACTGCATAGTTGATTGATAACTTTATTAACTGTTTATTCCAGCTCCCACAACCTTGATGAATCCCCTACTGTCAGCGAGTCACTTGAAGCACTTCTCGCAGATGTCTGATGACGAGCCTCTATACGACTCAGTAGCCTCCGACGAAGACTACGCTGCTTTAGCACCTATAGACTTGGATGTGAGTATAAAGTACTATTTATGAGTTTTTATTTACTTTTGTAATTAGCTAATTCAGGTTTTGAAATATAATCTCTGCCAAGTGTTTTCTTGGGCTAATCATAATCTAGTTTACAATGGCAGTAAGATCATGTCGGCAGATATTGTCCCGGTGCAACACATCCTTTAATTGTTTGCTAGAGGTAAAGTGTAAACAATGCCATAATATCTATAGAAGATGGCCACCAGTCATCAGCAGTACCTACACTGAACAATAGGCGCTATTTCCTCAGCAATTGTTTAATGGTGATATTCCCAACAGTTATCGAGTGTGGTGCCTCGTGCGGGTGAGACAGTATCCTCGACATACAACCCGTCCCTGCCCCTCGATCACTCCTCCATCATGGACATACGCCGCACTCAGTCTCCCAGCAACTTCACACACTCCGCTATACCCGAACAAACCACGGAAATAGAAACATTGAAGAAGGAAATACACACTAAAGACTCCACCATCACCGAACTCAAGAACCAACTGAAGAGCTTACAAACTATTGTGGAACAACTCACCAAGGAAAACAGTGTTCTTAAAACAACTAGTAGCGTAGATGATGATCAGAGCATGACGTCACAGATGTCGATAAACGACAGCTCTAGTAACGCTTTAGAGTCGTCTAAAGCGCAAGAGAGAGGCAAAAGTCTCGAGACCGAGCATTTCACCCGGGCGGAGGAAGTCGATGGCAAGTTGTCGTTGAAACCTGCGCAGCGACCGGTCAGTATGTATGAGACTAGAGAGGGACCAAAGAATAACTGGCAGGTTACTAAACACCAGGTACTAATTTATTAATTACACTAATATACTTAGCGTGCACTAACTCACTAGCATTAAGGTGGTCAGCGTAGCCTCTAGTTGCAATAACCTTCATAAACTTAACTTTTTTAACTTGTAGAAGATTATTAATGAAATGAAACTGAAAGCCATCATTGAATTTTAATATAACTTGTTAAAAGGGATTTAGATTAGATCAGGAATTCTAGAATATCAACATAATTTACTAATGGCTTGAAACAAACTGTTTTATTAACTCGGTTTACACTCAAGGTAAGAACAATTTTGACTGAGTTTGGTTTGTCGGTCAGCTGACGACGCTATCGAGCCTGGAGAGGTCGCTGTCTCCGCTGTCGCTGGGCGCGGAGGGGCCGGAGGACGCGAGCGCGCTGCCGCCGGCGGAGCTGGTGCAGCGGCGCGCGGAGCACGTGACGCGCGCCATCTCCGAGCTGTGGGCCGCCGCGCGCGACCAGCACCCGCGCCTGCAGCAGCGCGGGGACTCCATACGACACGCCGTGCGGGCGCTACTCGCACTCTTCCCACAGGTAACTCTAATCATTCATAAAATTGTCATGTAATCTTTTCTCTATAAATTACTGAAAAATCTGTTCGAGCGTTCAGTCGGTCTCACCTGGGCCATTAGTGAACAACTAACTTTATGGCACCCAAATGGGACCAAAAGTTAAAATTAACTTAAAAGGGGAGTTTTTTTTATTTCGCTATATATCTTAACAGCTTTCGGTTAGTTAAATGTATCGAGAATATTGTGTCCTATAGACGAACACGGACGCGGAGCTGTCCCTGGTGCTGGGCGAGCTCCGCGCGGCGTGCTCGGAGGTGTCGCTGGCGTGCTCGGCGCCGTCGCCGCTGAACGAGGTCCGCGCGGCGGCCTACGACCTGGCGAAGGCGACCAAACTACTCGTCACACACTTCCAGCCCGACTCATAGCGATCGCCTCTCTGCTACTACACCACCGTGTAGGGCTCAAGACTCAGTATTCTTCAACATAGTGTATAAGTGAACTCAGTGTTCGTGCTATTATTTTTGTGCTACGGTTATACAAACAAGTGATTAGAGTATTCTATTAACTAGTAGTGTGACGTCATCACTGGATCGTCGGCTAGTGTTCATTTGCATACGAGGTGCTGAATTAGTTCTGAAAGTAAACTGCATTTGGAGCATTTTTGAGAGTTCAAGACAGAATCAATCCATGCCTGCGTTAGATTGTAGCGAACAAAGTCAAGTATTTGACTAATATTTCTAGTTATAAAATTGAAAGTTTAAAGTAATTTGTTAGATGATCAGTTGTCTTCCTTTAAGTCGGTTGTATATCGCAGCTCAATGTCACCGCAGCTAGGAAAAACCACAATGTAATTGTAAGTATGCGTGGCAAATCACAAATTCGTTATTAAAAAAGACTAACTTTTTGAGTTTTCATGTTTATAATAATAAATTATTATTAAATGCTTGAAAATTATTGTGGAGTGTAACGCGACAGTTACAAATAATGCAATATAAAGTAATTAATGTATAAGATATAATTATACTAATGATTTAATAATAAGTAAAGATCAAGAGATAGTGATCATTGCGTGGATCGGCGGTATATTCACGCTAAAGTCGATATAAGTAGTTACAAAACTCGAGGCTAGCCCGTGATACTATATAGTGTTTCTTATACACAAACAATGAGATAATTCACGTCTTTGATTGACCTACTATATAAAGTTTTATAATAATTGTAAAACAAATAAATGGACAGTATATTTATAATAAATAATTATATGATCTCGAGAACTGACAAAATACAATTAATATGCAAATTATTGAATGTTGAAACGTCAAGTCTTGCAAAGAAGACATAAAGCAAAAAAATTGACTAATAATAATTAGTAATACTTAATGACAGAATATTACAAAACGCTTTATGCTTTTGATGTTTTCTTATATGTATTTATGTATAAATGTGGCGCTTATTAGCTAGAACAAATATATCAAAATATGTACAATCTTGTTAAATTATCCTCAACGGAAATGTGTCATTTCGATATTAATTATTATACTAGGCGTGTAGCAAACGGTGTTAGTGAAGTATTGTAATAAGTAAGTATCGCGATATACATAAAGGAAGGAAGTAAATAAGTGTCAGTATAGCATTTCGTTATAATAAGTGACAAGGTATTAGACGCATATATTGTTGTGCCGTGCTTACTCGACTGCGTTGCCTATCTATGAATATTTAATATATTTTTTGTTAATCATGCATTAGTCGAAACGACTGAAATTGCGCACTAAATAAAAGAATTAAACGCATAATTAGCTGATTAGCGACCTGGAGTTTCTTTGTCTGTAGTGTGTTACAGCGCAGTCGAGTGGTTGTTATAGAACGTACCACGATGTGATCATTAAGTGGTGAACCTAAGTGCCATGCCCACGGGCAGTAAACATTTTCACTTGTTTCAAATTACTATCAATAAAGCTTCTTCAAACTTGGTTACTCTACCGCCACAAATCTGCATTTTCTTACACTGTGTCATTCCATTCGATGTGTTCTATCATATATTGTAATATTTCTAGATATATTCATAATACTTCCACTTCTTTACATTATCTTTATCCTATTACAGTATTTATGTTCTATACAAATGTGAATGTGCTATGGGTGGTCTGTATTTTGAGATGGCAATATGGATTTGAATTTGTGAATAACTGATTTATTATCATATCAACAAACGACAGGGTTCCTCAATTTGCTGTGCATTGTATGTCGTGTACCACGGTGACTACCCTTGAGACACAGACTTCCCAGTAGTACAGTCCACACATACCTAGACAAGAGGTGCTTGATACGTAATAGTTTCTCCCTCCCAGTGCTCCTTGGTACCCAGTACACTTTGATAACAAATTGTGCCTAAAAATTTTATATTCATACATTTGTTAGAAGTACCTAGATAAGTTTATTGGTTGGTAGATTTTATATGAGCGTTTCATAATAATCTATATTACGTTGTTAGATAGGTATTCGTATAGTTTACAAGGTGGATTTACTATTGTGGTTAGTATTGTATGTATATCAATATTAGCTTTCGTACTATTAATATAATAGGTATGTTTAATATACGTATGAGTATTATGTGATCACTTTATGTGCCAATGTTTGTAAAAGACGTAGTATATAGTAATTGGGGAAGCACTAGACGGGATCCTGTTTCTGTATTTTTGTACATATTTACAATATCCCACCAACACTGCATAGCTTTACTCAACAATTGCGACGGTGCCTTTGAGTTGTACAACAAAGGAGAGACGCCATGACAGACTGCGACTAATGCTGTGGTAATTAGCTAGCACGGCGGCGATAGCTTCCTCGTTTCCTTTAGTGCTGGTAATTACACGACAACCTTGGAGGTATCGCTAATTTGGTAATTATATCGTGAAATACTAGAGCCATTTTTTGTACATACTCAAGTGGCACCTGAGTAGCACGCTGGATCACAATGGAATTATAAAATAGTAAAATAGAAGTATTTATATACAACTTTGTACTACTTAACACTGGATAGATATCAGACTAGCTACGGAAACATGATCTCAAGCTGATTCGTATGAAATTTATTGAAATTTTTAACGTTTAACATATTAAAATTTATTATTATTATATTAATTTTGAAATCACTTATTTGTTTTATTTGATGAATTAAATCCACACTCATCTATAGATGTAAGTTTTCTATGTCCTCCAACTACTAATAAGAATTTACCTTTAACTTGATCTCAGCCAGTAGATTAAGATGATACCTATTTGAGATTAATGTCCAAATTTACTCAAACGCCATTCAACTTTAAGTCGCGCTTAAGTAAACATATATGTATATACAGGGTGACTTGTAACTCGATTTCCTACAAAAATAGCCCTGAGGTCCCTAGTCCGAAAATGGATAGTTTCTGAGATATTCAACAATTTCGGTTTTGGTGAAAAAATCCCGATCGACCTACAAAAACATCAATAAATCAAAAACTACTGGTTTGATTTAAGTGATTTTAGTTTTAATTTCACATCAATAACGATTTATTAATACTAATACTTTCTACTAATATTATTTATTTATTTATTTATTTTACACTTTAATGCACACAAAATAAGGTACATAAGGCGGACTTAATGCCATATGGCATTTTCTCCCAGTCAACCTTTGGGTTAAATGTAAGCTCAGCGAAAATGGGCCTGTGTAATATCCAAAAAAAAAACAAAATAAATAACTAATAGTAATAATAAATACTGTATAACATACTGTATAAAAATATATAATAAACACAAAATATGTACATACATAAATAACTTCATATATATAATTATAATATAATATAAATTGACGAAGATATAAATTAAAGAAGACACGAACTCAGCGTTGTAGCGCCTTTAAATAGGCCTCACGAACACTACGTTTAAAAGCCATTTTGTTTGGAGCCATTTTTATACTATGGGGTAGTGCATTCCATAATTTAATTACACTAACTCTAAAGGAGTTAGAAACGAAGGAAGTGTGGTGAGACGGGATCTCTAGAAGCAAACTTTCAGCTGAACGGAGATTTCGGCTGTGAGAGCTGCCCAAAATCTGAAAGCCAGATTTTAGGTATTCGGGAGCACAAGGATCATTTAGAATAGAGAAGAGCATGCAGAGGGATCTAAGGGATCGCCTCTCACGGATAGGAAGCCATTTAAGCTGAGCGCGAAAGGAAGAGACATGGTCGTATTTACGTAGTCCGAAGATAAAGCGGATACAATTGTTGAGCATTCGATCCAATTTGTTAAGAAGGTCTTGGGATAGGTCAGAGTAACAAACATCAGCATAATCAATCACAGGAAGCACAAGAGACCGAACAAGCAGCGCTTTTGTATTTGGTGGAAGAAAGTTTTTAAATCTGTAGAGAGATCGCAGCGTGGTAGTGACTCTTTTACTTACCTGAGTGACATGGTGGTTCCAACTGAGCCCTCTATCCAGGTACAGTCCCAAGTCCTTTACATGAGGAGACAACGGTATGGTCACTTTATCGAATATGATTGGCTCAAGGTGAACAGTATTTAAACAACTCAGATAGTAGGAACTACCTAACACTATGGCCTGACACTTACCAACATTTACTGTGACACCATACTTTTTAGACCAATCTTCCACAATGAGTAAGTTGGCGTTGAGTTGTTGGATACAACTCCCCATATCCGCAATCCTAGCTTGAGCATATAGTTGCAAGTCATCGGCATACAGATGATAAGAGCATGTGAGAAGACTAGTAATAGAATTAATAAATAAAGAAAACAATAGAGGAGAGAGTATACCGCCCTGCGGTACACCAGCCGTCAGTCCGCCCCAGTCAGAGAGTTCCTGACCAACGCGAACAGACTGCTGGCGACCACGAAGATATGCTGAGAACCACTCCCGCGACGACGACGAGACCCCAGATTGAGTTAATATGGCCAAGAGAATATCGTGGTCAACTGCATTGAAAGCGTTGGAGAAGTCGATTAAGATTAACACAGTTAACCTCGAATCCTCCATACCACACCTCACATCCTCAGTGACTTTGAGCAAGGCAGTAGAAGTGCTATGGCCGGGTCGGAAACCAGATTGGAAGGAAGACAGTAATTTGTGTTTTAAGATATATGAGGAGATTTGTCTATGGACAACTGCTTCAAGGATCTTAGATTGATAAGGAAGGATAGAAATGGGTCTATAATCGTTGGCCCGGCAGGGATTAGGAATTTTTGGAAGCGGGATGATGTGCGCTTTTTGCCAAGTTGTGGGAAATACACCGTGAAATAACGAGAAGTTTATTATGTGGGTGAAAATAGGAAGGAAGTGCTCAAGAATTAAGGAAATCATGGTACGACCCACCCCATCACAGCCCACCGCCCTGGATTTGATCGATGCGAAAATTCGCTGGATCTCGTTTTCAGTCACTGGACTAAAAGTGAAAGTGTCGGGGAGTGATATAGGCTTGGAAGTAATGTCGGCGATAGTGCTGACTTTAATGGCATCCGCCAAACCAGAAGATGAAGCAAAATGCAGGTTAAGAGTATTTAGAGAAATATTTGTGGGTAAAACACTGGATGAAGTACCACAGACACCCAGCGTTTTTAGGAACTTCCATACATCAGCCTGAGAAGAGTTTTGAACGTTATCGAAAATGTATCGGCGTTTAGCAGCTCTCACCATCTGGTTACACCGATTTCTCGCCAACCTATACAGTCCCCAGTTCTCATCGCTACGATCCCTCTTATATCTACAGAACGCCCTATTGCGACGTCTCATAGCCATTTTGATTCCCGGAGTGATCCAGGGAGCCGGTGGACGCCTAACACGGACTGCCTTTAGAGGCGCGTGCGCGTCCAAAAGCTTAAGGTCAGACTCGTTTAGGTAATTGACCTTCTCGTCAATAGAAGTCGATTGATATACATTGGTCCAGTCAATGGATTGTGCTTCGCTGTTTAGTTTGATTTTATCTATCCTCGCAAAGTTTCGAAGGTATACAAGTGCAGGACGTCGCCTAGGTGGCCTAATTTTGTATGATAAATAAATTAAGTCATGTCTTGACAACCCCGGAGCCGCAACCTGACCATGATTGACCACAAGTTCCAAGGAGGATACGAGCATGAGGTCGAGCCAAGAATCATCAGATCCAACATTACAATGGGTCGGATTTAGTGGGAGAAGAGAAAGATTCGAAGACTCAAGGTTCGACCTCAGCCCACGAGACCTAAGAGACGACTTAATGAGATCAGTATTAAAGTCTCCCATGATAATGTTGTGTTTGTACTCTGTGGAAAAGGTTTCGAAGAGAATCTCTAAATGAGAAAAATAGTTGATTGCTGGTGGGCAGTAAACAACTCCAAGAATTGCCTTGACTCCTCTGACGTCCACTTCCAGCATAAGACCCTCTAGAGATCCGCTATAAAAAGATGGAGAAGAATATAGAATTTTAAAGGGGATGTCACTACGAAGATAGATAGCAACCCCCCCAGCTCTCCTTCCCGTGCGGTCATTTCGGATTAAAATAAAACCAGGTAAACTGTAAGAGGTGGATAGAAGCTCAGGTTTAAGCCAGGTCTCTGAAATTAATATAGCGTGGATTAATGTGTCTGAGAACATGTCCAACAACTCTGAGTGATGTTGAGGGACACTTTGGGCATTAACATGGCAAACGTTGAGGCAATTGTGGAAATGCTGTCGGACATAATAAAATATAATAAATATAGATATATAATAAATAATACAAGAATATGTAAAGGTATATAGGTATATATTTGTATCGCTAGAATAGGCTTTTATGCTAGTATAATACGGAAACCTGCCGGTTGACCTAACAAAAAGCAACGAATATCTTAACCTTACAAAAAGCCAAGAAGTTGAACATAAAAATAAATATATATTATGTATGATAATTAGATAAACAATATAATAATAACGTTGGCATCGTCGAATAAATCATGCGTTGGTATTGGTTGGTATTCGCGGGTCGGGTGGGTGTGCGCACCAGCGACCTCTGCACTTCCGATGACGTCGCGACAACCGACAACTGCGCACCTCGAGTACTCGACTAGTCTCACCTTCACCTTGCATAATGCACCGTTTCCAGTTTCTACGCATTACCTGGGTACAGCTATGTGTGACAAGTACACGTAGTCGACACGATTAGATTATCTAATGTGGGTTCATTACAATCATTGCACTGTAGGTACGCTATAAACGTACAAATTAAGTCTTACCTGGCTGATTTGCTTACTAGAGGTTATTAGTTGCACTCCAAGGTCTATATATAATATAGCCTATGTTTACAAATAAACGATTTCATTTCATTTCATTCATTTCATATAGGTTTATTAAATAACTAGCTGTGCCCGCGACTTCGTTCGCGTAGAATAGTGACTATGAGCAGCGTTTTTTTTTAAATATATACTTATTTTTATTTTAGATTTGGATCATAATCACAGTCATTTTGGGTAGCTAAAAAACCTACTTTACTGTAATGCTTCTCTATATACAATATTAGACGTATGGCCGTCGGGGGTGAAAGCATACAGGCTGCTGGGATTGCTAACACGGGACAGAGCCACATACAATTGACCGTGTGAAAAACAGTTGATACTATATGTATACCCACAACTTTTAGAGTCTGACCTTGAGCTTTATTAATTGTCATGGCGAAACATAGGCTCACTGGAAACTGAATTCGTTTAAAATTAAACGGAAAATTTTTTGGAATGAGAGGAATCTGAGGAATAAAACCACTATCACCTTTTCCGCACCCTGTTAAATATATATATATAATAATTATTATAAGCCATTTCTGAGATTAGCGTGAACAGACAAACAGACAAACAGACAAAAAAAAAGTTAGTTACATTTTTGGGTTCGACATCGACATAACAATAGCCCCTGCTATTTTTTTTATTTTTATTTTCAATGTACAGACAGCACTTTTCTACAATTTTATTATATGTATTATTATATGTATAGATAGATAGATACATAGTGTTCGACGTGATTCTTTAATTTGACGTAACTTTTTTATTTATGAACCGATTGACATGAAACAAACACTAAAGCATAACTGAAGCAGACCACAATATATTCGTGAAAACCGCATCCAACTCGGATAAGCCGTTTCTGAGATTAGCGTGAACAGACAAACAGATAAACAGACAAAAAAAAAGTTAGTTACATTTTTGGATTCGACATCGACATAACAATAGCCCCTGCTATTTTTTTTATTTTTATTTTCAATGTACAGACAGCACTTTTCTACAATTTTATTCTATGTATAGATCAGAGTAAAAAAGGTAACTAACTTGTGATAACACCAGTTAAAAATCACTTGCTGATAGGTAGGAATAAATGTAAGTTAACTGTTCAACCTTAATGAGCATACATATGGTCTGGCGACTATTGTACCAAAAAAGTTCTTGAAAATAAACTAAATTCTTTGTATCGAATTCCAGAATTAGTAACTAATCTAGGTTGTATATAAAGGTCTGCAATTCGGTCACACATCTTTCATATTTTCCCAACACACAAGTTAATCTTTCATCACAATCAACTCCAAATGAAACCAAAAAATATGCAAAAAATACTTTATTTCATTATAAAATTTTCTCACGCTCGTAATAGTGTGTCTTTAAATAACCATTACATACATAATTACGTTATATTCAACACAGGTAGGTAATATGACCTCGACTTTATTTTGTACGGTACATTTCAAATGTTGTGTTATAAAACTGTAATTACAGCAAAAAAAAACATAATTATTGTACCTATGTGGGTAATTGACAAAATTGTTCCAGCTCTCCGATTGCTATTCTTATTACGTTGTTGCTCAGTGAACAATAGGACTGTCGGAGTTTCCAAGTATGTAGGTATACCTATTATTCCGTATGTTGTACGCTCAAGGTTTTAGTGTAACTGCTTATTTAACTAACAAAAAGTTTCAAGCCAATAACATAATTCCTATTTTTTCCATATCGGTAATAATAATAACAACATCGCCCACTGTGTCGATAGAATATTTTTTACACACTATTATTGTAATGGATACCATGTTTGCCCTTGACTTATTAATTAGAAACACTATTGTGTGGTGAACCGCGAAAAAACATTTCTCTCTTCGGTCGGTCACGTTTTAATACGAAGTTTTAATTGAGTCTACAATGGGCTTGCCTTACATAGATATCTACACATAAAACGCCACACAGTCAAACTACAAGTAGGCGTAATTTAACATAATTTAATGTTATTAAGGGGCAAATAGACCTTATTGCTTATTGTGAAACTTAAACAGTTGGCAATAAAAAGCGTCTACCTCGACTCGATAGAGCGCGACATCCAAACAAGGAATCTGTTTCAATTCCCGAATGACGAGGTAGAACTCAAGAAGGGGCTGAATAAAGGCGAAATTCACAGTAGGTCCTACATAATTAGGTACCTATTTAAAAATAAAATAAATATGATGTTATTTATGGTAAAGAAACTGCCTCGTTGGCCGATTCGTGTTCGATTCCTGGATCGGACAAAGTATTACCTACTGGATTTTAAAAAAAATCTCCTAGTAGCACAGAGTCTGGAAATGTGCCCGGTAGGTATATGGCAATAGGCTGACCTAGGGGGTCAGCCTATTGCTTTGCTATTGCGTGGGACTCATAAAATAAATAATGAAAAGTGGGCGTTACCTACTTCTGTGTTACGAGGTAAAGAAAGTTCTTTCAGATTAGGAAAAAATATGTGTAATCAACATTGACACTGTTTGTATAGAGTCGATAAGTAATAAGTACAATATATTTGAATAGTCTGTAAAATCAGAACATAAAATTGGTATTGAAGTAATTTGGCTCTCAATCCAAGTCTCATTGACCCCGTTTGTTTCACAACATACTTATTGGCTGGCATGACTTTACGAGTGTGTATGACCAACAACCGAGCATATTTCTTATGTTATCTCTACAAACACTATACGATACGAGCCGTTAAATGCATGAAGATTTATTGATCGTTTATCGGCGAACGTAGAACTAAAATTAGAGGAGCATCGCATCAATGGATGCTGCTACCATCGTGATATATAAAGGAAGATCGCATAATAATATAACATCGCCCTTATTGTTCCCCAAAGGATAAAACAGGTGGATTCTACTCGTCTGCTTATATGCAGCTAAAAATGTGTATAACTTTACCTACAATCACAATCGCATTAATTATAGTCAGTACCTAGATAGGTACCTATTTATAGGTGTGTAGAGACGAGCTGACGTCTGGTTTTAGGGTCCATCGCCCTTCAAAATTGCCCCAACGATTCAACTGTGTGGAATGAAATTATTAAACACAGACTCTGCGTCTAGCCCCTGGGGCGCTATGTGCTAGGGTGTGAGTGCGGAGAGGGCTTACACGCGTGCTTACAATTTATTGAACCAATATCATTTCGCCGTATGTTAGTAGATGCCAGCACGTTTAACTAGCTCGTTCATTTTCGACCTTATTACGAAAAATATAAAGTAAAAATTTTATTAAAGAAAGACATTGGAAAGTACGAGGCAGGTCATATAGGTTGATCTGCTCGTATACTACCTACCTAGTTCATCTTACACAATGAGGATTTTTTTTTTACTTTCGAAAGGAAGTAACACATAGGTACCTCTTTATTGTTTGTTTGGTGTTTTCAGAAAATACATTACCTAATTACCATAGTGTGCAAGCACACGTGAAGAAAGCCCTTTAACCCGATTACGGAACGTTTTCCGCGTTTAGGTATGTAAATTATTTCTTTGAAATGTTTATAAAATAAAAACTTAACTCGCGTGTGGAGAACCGTTTTACATATGAAACGAGACGTGGCGACGTCAACTCCATTGTTTTATTACATTTAAATACCAGTTTAACTTTCTGTAACTGGATTTAAACGTTCTAACTATAAGAAGAAATGTTAGACAAGCACATAATTTATGCAGGTATAGCAAAAACCAGAACACAAAACATGAAATACAAACAGTATTTACGGTGTGTAGGTACCATGATTTCAAAGATTATTATAAGTATAGAGTAGGTATCTAATAACCAGTTACAATAAGAGTTTTGCAGACTATCGACTAAGTTCAAAGACACATTGGCATAACATCTAGGCAAGTCCCTACATTTATTATAAACTATAACAATCTAAATAGATCGAAACCATTCCCATGTTCCTTAATTTGTTTGTAACTTGAAACAAACTATTTCATATCCGTAACTAGCGACCCGCCCCGGCTTCGCACGGGTGCAATATGTATATACATACAAACCTTCCTTAAGAATCATTCTATCTATTAAAAAAAACCGCATCAAAATCCGTTGCGTAGTTTTAAAGATCTAAGCATACATACGGACATACAGCGAAAGCGACTTTGTTTTATACTATGTATTGAAGTAATGAAACTAAAATAAGTACTTCTTCGGTATATCATTTGGTAAGTCTAATTAAAACTAATGAGATTTTCAAGAGCATTTCCATATGCAGATGGCTTGGTTTCCTCCAAAGTACATGTAGCACATGTTGGTGCATTCGTAGGTGACCTCGAAGCCGTAACTTTCGCCCACAACCACATGGAAAGACGGGCCGAATTTCTTGTCCATAGCTTCCTTGACCATGCGAGCAGCCAGCTCGTTATTTTGGGAGTGTTTTTCACAAGCTGTGACTGTTAACTCAACAGCTTCGACGCGCATCTCTTCTGACATGTCTGAATGCTGTGGACAAATCACGTTGTTAGACCTTCGTCACATGACTGACCTAATATAGCATCACGTGTGGACCACAATATCACCTTAGGACAAGATACAAAGAACAAAAACCGATAGCTTGCAAACCTAAATATTTTCTTAAAATGTCTGCCTCATCAATTTTCAAACAAGAATCCATTAGTTGAGTTGTATATGTCTACACTTTACATAACCGATTGTTCAAACACGGTAGGCATTTATAATACGGAGATAGTATGAGATGAGAATGGATCCACCTGGCAAAATAAACAGATGAAACATTGCGATCGAACACTCCTAGTTGGAGAGCTGTCGGTGTCGAGAAAACAAATCTGTTTACTTGCCGCCATACGTATTTTATGGAGATATTTGGACGAGAGAAATTCATTACCGGAACGTTTACTTGCAGAGTATTTAAGTACAAGAACTTTAAGTGAGAACTAAGACCGCAAAATACTTCGAGATAGACTTAATAGTACGACTACTTTATCTACATACATAACTTTCGAAAAAAAGTACCTACTTAAACTGTCAAACACCAAGCGGTCACCGGTGACCGCAACCTATTGTTCTGTAATTGTGTCTATAATGACGGTACTCGACGAGTTAAGTATATTGTGTTAAAGACAATTAAAAAATTATGATAAGTTAATCTACAGATTTTTGTAGTCGTTTTCTATTTTCATTCACACATCGATCTGTAAGATCAATGTACGAGTGTATGTAACTTTATAGCCGAGAGTTCCGGTCGAATGATGCGTTATAGCGAGCCAAGTCGTACCACTCCGGGGCCTTGACTCCGCCGAAATTTAATATCCACATCGTTTGATCGATATCGCCAGTAATAATACAATTATTAACAACTATACAAAACCTTTGAGACGATTTGAAAAAGTCACCCTTGGGGGGGTTGGTTGTTAATTTATTTGTTAGGTTCCGTTATGGTTAATCAACGAGTGGGATGATGATAGGGTATGAAAATTAAAAATCTAATTGGTCCGTAAGTTAGGTAAGGAAAAAATAATAGACACGTACTTATTTTTATATTTTGTCATATAATAAAACAATACTTAGATATAACGAATCAAAGTTTAAGAGTGGGAGCTAAAACGTCATTTCTACGTATAAAATGTCCATAGAAATGACGGCACGCGACATTTCAAATCAATATATCGTCGAAAGTATTCGTCTCTGTAAGAAAATAAAAATACTGTGTTTACCTAAATGATTTAAAATAATCTACCAGACAGACGGACATTAAAATAAAAATTAGGCATCTACCCTAGTATTATGTTCTAAAGTTGTTAGTTAGATAATACCTACAATAAGTACATGACTACTTACTATGAAAATAACATTAAAATAATGTTTTAGATAGTGATCTGTGTAAGGAAATAATTTAATTCTTAGTTGTTAGGCAATGTATGTGTTAGGTACAAACCGTTTGCGTTGTTACCTACCCTCTAATAAGTTGAAATTGATTCGAAATCCCGATAATACAATCGATGATGTGACTTTTTTCCAATACAAATAAAGCGCATCTCGAAAAATATGTTTTTGATTAGGAGAGAAGTAACTTTTAAACCTCTAGAATTTTGGTTCATGTAAGTAGTTCTTAACGTGTAAAGGCGTTGATGTGCCTATGTATCACCTATCGACCAATAAGTATTAGGTATCTATCGGATTAAACATCACTAGTCAGTCCTACGAACAGAGTAAAGAGAAAGATTTGTGCACTAGACATGTTTACACTATATTTCTAGACTATAAGACTACTCTTAGACCTGCATACCCTGCTGTCGACAACAGCTCAATTATAGGCCCACTTCCTTTAATAAGTTTACAGATTATTTTGCGTAGCGAAAGAGGTATGTAAGAATCGTAGTAATTGGCGTTCCTTAGTCTCTGCCTACCCCCATGGGAGACAGGCGTGAAGTTATGTATGTATGTATTTTGCGTAGGTCGATTGTTATTACACTTGATACATAATGACATCAACATTTTTACAGATTGTACCTAGCAAAGAAATAAATAAAAAAATTTACCCTTATCAGAGGATACGTGTGTATCACTTTCTCAGGCGCCGTACCAGGCACAGCAGCCTCGTCACCCATTGTATATAAAATTCACAAATATCCATCAAAACAAGACACAATCACATGCAAAACAAAATTATCGAAACACGACACGTCTTTCTGTGACCGAGCGATGCAACGTCTCGCCGCTGTTTACCCGTTGCCTTGGAAACCGACGGGAGGCGGGAAGATCCTGATTGATTTTTTCTCAACGCTGCACTGTGGTTTTGTTGTGAGTGGCCAGCCAGTCTCGCTGGTCACTAAGCTACTAATAGTAGTAAATAATGAGCATCGAACATGTCCAAGGCTGCGCGTGGGAGCGGTTGACTATAGTTTAACATGGTTAGCATTTTTGAACCTATATTTTGTTATAATGACATCATTGTGATGTACAGACACACCGAGGGATAACATAGTGTTTCATATCCTTATATTATTTACGTACTACCAGCTTTTATATTAAAGCTCGTGTTTTATACCCCATACTTTTCATATTGATTTACTTAAGTACTATAGTTCTATTAAAAGGTACACGTCTACTTAGACGTGTACCTGACTTGTACGTGTGACGGGTACCTACTTACCTAATGCACTTATTGGCAAGATTAATGTTTGTTTTTCGTGATTAATTTTAATGCATAGAAGAGGTCGCGGTTGATATTGAGCAATGATATGTACCTGTTTGCTATATACCTTAGACTGACTTTGCGTCGTCTTCCCAGTTAGGCGACCCTTAAGTATTGAGATTCAAATAACATTATTTATAGTAAAAATAAATAGATATTACCTATTTGTGTACAAAATTCGTTGGATTACGTAAATTCAATTTAATATTCGAAATCCTATTTATATTATTTTAGACCAATACTTTTTAAAGAATACTGGTATGAAGTGCTGCCGATGATATCGATACGGTAGAAAATTTATTTATTTCATTTCAACCCTTTTTTAGCTGTCAAAGCTAATTGTCAATTGTCATTCAATTTCATTCAAATGTCAAAATCAGCTGCGTGATCTTGGTATTGTTAGTGTTTATTTGTAGAAATTTAATAAATTTCCTTTAGCATTATAGATATTTAAACACCAAAAATATAATTATGGCGTCTCGCTTTAGTGGTGCGTTACAGTTGACTGATTTAGACGATTTCATAACACCTTCACAAGTAAGTAATCAACTCTAACCTCAATCAATGTTTTTGTATTAATTTGTCAATATTGCGTCTGCTCGTCCTGGCTAATTGTTGGAAGATTCGCCATTATTAGGCTATAGTACAGAATTTAATATCTTTTATTAGTAATTGAAGTTGTAGTCAGTCACAAATAGAATCCCATAAGATCAAGATTTGTCAACATTTATTTGTATAACCTTTATCAACAGGAATGTATAAAGCCTGTAAAAATCGAGAAAACAAAGACGAAAACTGGCGCAAAAATAAAGATAGGTGAAGATGGCTATTTTGATGTGTCAAGTGGCAGAGAACAGAAACTCCAGAAGGTTGAAATTACATTAGCAGACTGTCTGGCTTGCAGTGGGTGCATCACGTCGGCTGAAAGTGTGTTAGTCACCAAGCAAAGTCAAGAGGAACTGTTAAGGTTAGTTTTGTCACAAGATAATGAACTTTATAACCCTTTCTTTTATGTCTATAATGCTATAAACATTTATATGAATTAAGTTTTTTTAGTTTTTAGGTGTAAATTTTGCAACATTTTATACCTAAGTTAAAAAAAATTAATTTAATGTCATCTTTAGCATTAGTGCATTTCCCTCATACCTTCTCACATAGTCCTTCACATGAACCTCTCCAATAGGACATCACTAGCTGTGCTCTCTATAAATTTATAATTTTTTTTCTGGGTTTTAGAGTGTTCTCAGAGAAGAAATATACAGATAACAAAGGAGTGAGTAGAGATGTGAGTTTAATAGTGGTGTCCCTGTCACCACAACCTACATTATCTCTGGCAGCCCGTTACAAACTGAGTCCTGAGGAAGCCACTCACAAGTTAGCAGGTGCCTTTATATTCTATGTCTAACATTAGAAGTACATTGAAATTTATTGTTTAATTAAGCCTTATGTACGGATCATAAATTATAATTATTACATGCTGCCTAAGAAAGGTAAAAATATGTTTAAAAAATATTAGCTAAGTCCCTATCCATGTGACAAAATTTGAATGATGAAAAATTTTAACACACTATGTCAATATATAATTACTTTAAACTGTCAAACACCGCGAGGACATCGGTGACCGTAACCTATTGTTCTTTAATTGTGTCTATAATGATGGTACTCAAAGGGCTACAATCAATAATTAGATACTCATAGATACTTCATCTACACAGTAGAGGGTGTTTAAGTTATTTTATAATTTACTTGTACAGGTTACTTCAAGAGTTTAGGGGCAGACTTAGTGCTGGATATGACAGTAGCTGAAGACCTGTCATTGCTGGAGGCACAGCAGGAGTTCTTGCAGCGCTACCAGAACCAGCAAACTGATCCTAGTTCTAAACAGCTGCCTATGCTTGCTAGCTCTTGTCCAGGTAAGATAACAATATAAAAAAAGTCTTGCACTAGTTACTTGCAAAGTATCAATACCTAAAAAAATGAATGACAAAAACAAACAAGCTGAGAATTGAGTAGGTACAGTAGTTACATATCTTTAAAACAAAGAGTGATAATTATAATTACACAGCAAAGCCTGAGAGACATCAATGGCATTGCAGAAACTGAAACATCCCTACTGAAATATCAGTGCAGCACATGACTGATATTTTTGTATTTTGACTATTGTATTGGTGTAAACAAATGTTGTTAAAGCATAAATCAATACATAAATAAAATAAATAAATATTAGTGAATTTAATTGATTTTAAAACATTAAACAGGACTGAGTCAACTAAAAGCATAGTGTTACTTACGATTCCATCCACCACATTTTCGGTGTTGTAACTGCAAATACAAACAGCGCGTATACCCTTTTTGGTCCTCGCCAACGTCTTGCGATCAGCACGCGGCGTTTGTAAATTAAAAATACTCGTGCACGTTCAGATTACGTTACGAGCAGCGTGCAAGCCTGTAATGAAAGCACCAAAAGCTTACCAATATTAGTCTAACCAGCAAACTCAATCACCAGGTTGGGTGTGCTATGCTGAGAAAACACACGGCAACTTCATCCTCCCATACATATCGACGTCCAAGTCACCGCAGCAAGTGATGGGCTCCCTGGTCAAGCAGTACCTCTCAAAGTGTCAGGAGCTGACGGCCGGAGAAATCTACCACGTTACCTTCATGCCATGCTATGACAAGAAGCTGGAAGCCTCCAGAGAAGACTTCTATAATGAAATGCTCAGCTGCCACGATGTCGACTGTGTTATTACTGCCAGTATGTACCAGTTATTTTTATTTGATCTCTTAGTTTCTAGTAAAGGAACAGTAATAAGTATAATAGGTACTTTCAATTTTTCAATCCAATATTAGTAGTATACAAACAGAAATATGTGTGATGTGTTACTGTAGCTGTTCTCTATGCATCTCTTCAAGGAATGAAAGGTCGTGACGCAATGATGTTGTTAATATAGTTATGTACGTATAGTTATGGTAACTATGTATTGTGTCAGTGAGTACTGAGTGAGAGTAGAATACTATTGATTGTTTTGTTGTTTGTTTATTTGTTTAAATGGTACCGTATGCCATGTAACATTTTTTTGTCGTATTGTTTTTGTCGAGTTTGAATTATGTAATCATTGCAATTTGTAATATTTGTGTGGCATGCTTAGAATTTATAACATAACTAACGTAGACGTATTGTCACTTTATTAAAAGACATCCCTTTGCTTACAGAGGTATGATTATTATTAACTTAAATCGACATTAAGATTTACGACCCAATTCCAAACCCAGAATTAATCAAAGTTTTTTTCAACTTGGGAGTCGAACCCTTTGCTCAGTCATCAGTCTCACTTATCACCACTCCACCAAACCAGCAATCTGGCATCTTAATAATATTTCTAAACAAATCTGTTCCTTGTTTAGTTGAGCTGGAACAAATGCTGGACATCAGCAACAAGGCCTTGAGTGACATACCTAGTGCTGAGCTGGACTGGCCTTGGAGTGGCCTGGGGGAGGCCCCGCCAGCATTACGCAGGCACATCGGCTCGGGCTCCGGAGGATATGCTGACCATGTCTTCTTGTACGCCGCAGAACAACTATTTGGGCAGACTAATGCACAACTTGTGTATAAAAATTTGAGGTAAGTTATGAGGCTAGGTTTAATTATTGACCCCAGAAGTAAAGTAGGAAAAACTGTTTTAGTTGACTTTACTTCTGTAGTCGACATTGAATCCTAACGGGATTCGAATGAATGTGGAGCGATTGTGTAGGTAGCTGTGTTCCATAACCTGCTAAGGGCGATCACATTATTTTTGTAGCTGTAACGCAGTCCTTGCAACATACCGCTTAAAAAGTCCACTTATAATACAGAAATTAAAACAATGATACTCGAACTTTTAACCTGGAGTTAATACTCAACGCGACCCCAGTCTCTAGACTGCCTAAAAATAGGGAACAATGCCCATTGAGCATCCACGAAGTGTCGCAAGGTATCGTACGATATGTCTACGTGTAACCTGACCCCATTAGTTCCAGTAATTAGTCAATGGCTGCATTGTTTGCAAAGTGATGCAAGTTGCATGTTTGTGTCCGTCTGCTAGTGCGCCAGGAAATGAGGTCACTCTAGGAGCATCCTTACACTTTACTTCATTTGTTGTTAGTGTTTTAAAGTATAGTTAATGGTTAGAGGTCAAATATTATGCAACACGTCTACCACATTGATGAGCAAATTGCTGCTTTTATACAATATTTGATGGTCAATTAGTCAGCTATCAGCATCACCCATACTAAACGATTGTCAATTAAATATTATTGTATTTTCTAACCACCTGTATATGTGTACATTATGGATGCCATAAATACTCGATTACTTGAAATAATTCGCCAAGATTGGACAACATTTACATTAAAAACTTGAGAAATATGAATCATCCAACTGACTAGTAGTGACTAGGGGACTGTCATAAATATATAGTACGATTTAACCTAATTACATACATAATATAGGAACCCAGACTTCCGCGAGGTGACACTAGAGAAGGACGGGCAGGAAGTGCTTCGGTTCGCCATCGCGAATGGTTTTAGAAATATTCAGAACTTGGTGCAGAAGCTCAAGCGAGGCAAGTCGCCCTACCACTACGTTGAAGTCATGGCCTGCCCATCAGGTAACAACCTTCTGTATCATACTTACATGTACTTAGATTTGATTTTCCGATGGCAATCTATCATAGATAAGATAGTACAACATAATTATATTCTATGCTTTCAAATTCTTAAACATACTTTCAACCTTATTGTTTTACGATAAAGTTACATTTTGCAATAAAACTGGTTGTGGGTCAATCATACCTTACATGAAAAAAAAAAAACAGAAAAATATTTGTTCAGTCAATGTTTATAGAAAAAATGTATATGCTAAGGTAGGTAAGTATAAATTATGTGATTGTATAAATAGAAATATTTTAAGTTGCAGTGGAATGCATTGTAATAGACAACACTTTATTGTACACTATGTAGAATGATACATGCATACATTCATTCATAAACTAACGCCTTTGACTCCTGAGGGTAGACAGAAACTACCTAACTGTGGGAGAGCCATGCTTCGGCACGAATGGGCCAGTTCGACCGGAGTGATACAGAGCCTCACAGAAAAACGACGTCAAACAACGCTTGCGTTGTTTGACGTCGTGTGAGTGAGGTTATCGGAGGCTCAATTGGGGGGTCCTCCCTTCTATCCCCAAAAATCCTAATCCCTAATCCCCAAAATTGTTGTATCGCCTCTGGTGTTCCAGGTGCCCATCATAGGAGACGACCGATTGCTTATCATCAGGTGATCCGTCGGCTCGTTTACTGGCTTATCCCTTAAAAAATAAAAAATCTGCGAAGTTAAAATTGCCAGTTCCAGTTGAAGATGATCATCATCACGAAATGTTTATGTTCTAGGATGTTTAAACGGCGGAGCTCAAGTGCGCCCAGTGACCGGCGAGAGTGGGCGGGAGTTGGTCGCTCAGTTGGAAGCGATGTACTCCGAGCTGCCACTGGCTGCTCCCACCGAGAACAAGCTGGTTCGCAAGCTGTACGCTGACTGGCTCGACGGTAGAGACTCGGATAAGGCTAAAGCAATGCTGCACACTGCCTATCATGCTGTAGAGAAATCTGATATAGCACTCAATATAAAATGGTGATTGGTTGTATTTTAGTTGAATTCATATTTTTATACTATTATTGCTAATTGCACCTTCTCGGTTTGAGCATACGGCTTAAATTCGTATGTCAGGCATGTGAGGTTGATGAACACACATTATCTTCATATTGCATATTAATTGCACCTTTTTGGTTTAATCTTACGGTTGAAAATCGTATGGTTGGTTAGTAGTGGTTGTTTTTTAATTAGGAACTCTAAAAGTATTTGTTAAAAATTTATTTTTATATGTTGTTAAGATTGAACCTCTTGTAATATTCTGTTGTTATACGAAAGTCGACTTTATTTTGTGAATTATTAAGATATAATTTAGAGTAAATCTTGTTTGAGCTATATTGTGATTCAGAATCTAATTCTGTATATTTAGGCGGTGTGTTTCCAATACCTATGTAATAAATATAAATACATGTCTACATAATATTTTAGATCCCGAAAATATTTATTGTATTCTTGTTAAGTTACAAGTTGTTGTTTATATATATATAGTTATTTAAGTATATGTTGTCTGTCTAGCAGTAAGGTGTTTGATGTACATTTCCGAATAAATGCCGAATACTTGTAAATATCACGGTCTAATTGTAAGAACAATACAATCGTTTGAAAACGTCTCGTGTTTGTGTGCCCACCTATTTGCATTATGTATGTAGCACGCACCGTACAACCAACAGTACCTACTAAATTCACTATACATATTAATTCTTTCTTTATATTTCAAGATATTTTACTTTAAAAGTTACAGTTTTCGATTGATATTGACGACAAAGTTAATATTTCTCCCATTATATTACGTAGAATGAATAAATTAAAATATAACCGGCGCGTCTAGGCGACCGACTGCCGCGCAACGTGTAGCGGGTTCGATTCCCGCACGAAGCAACTCTGTGATCAACAAATTGTTGTTTTGGATCTGGGTGTCAGATATCTGTGAAATTGTATGTTTGTAAGCGCACCCACGACATGGAAGGAAATCCTAGTGTGAGGCATCGTTTATATTGAAAAAAATATGGCTTTTCTAGGCTTGATATCGCTAAAGTCTTATGACCGATAGATTTCGCAAATATCCAGTCATTATTCAGTGAAGTTGTTAAATAGACAAATAAGACCCCTAGCAGCCCTAGTGTCAACTGTTGAGTAATCCTGGTTAAACCGCCAAAAGAAATTGTCTAAAGTTAATTGTTAAATGTTTCATTGAAATTATAAATTACCCAACTTCTTTTTTTAAGGGGAAAAATCATCGAATTACTTCTCCCGCCTTTGTATCAGACTCTTACTGACTAAAATCCACCCCGTTCCTACTCCTGCACTCCGAGCCGGAGCCCCGGCAACCTAATCCGCGGCTCCGTATCGGCATCAGCCCTATTGGGCTCCAATGCCCCATCCGTGGTGCCGTGATGGTCTGATGGCTCTTTGAAGCGCGCGCGGAACGCGGTACGCCGCACGCTCGGGTACAATTGCATATCTGCCTAAAATCAAAGAATATTTTGCAAAAGATAATAATCGGTGGAACACTATTACCGATTACTTGCATGTAAGTTCAGCACACGTGCAACAATACACGCTTCATAACTCGATTACCAAATATTGACTTGGCTTACGTATCTGATCATCTGACCGTGCCTAACTAGTCTAGCTACACAACAGTTCATCCGAGTTACGAACATCGGTTGTTACGTCACACCTCGTGTCGTGTCCGTGGTCGTCTCGAGACGTGTGAGTCGGCTTCTAACGTCAATGAATAACGATGGAAGTGATCGATTGTATTCCGTGCAGTGGCGAGCGCGGGCGCGGCGACTGCCCGACCAATCTCGTGTTGTACAAATAATGTTTAGTGTTTACATAACAAGCGGTGCACTGCGCGACTGAGCGTCCTACATCACGCGCCAGTACCGACAGTGCCATGGGGGGCTCGAGGCTGGCTCCTTCCAGGATATACTGTGTACTGTTCTGCACCATCATCAAGGCCGTCATCAGCACCGGCCTCGGCAAGTGCCCCGTCTACCCGCCGCTGCCAAACTTCGACATACAGCGGGTAAGTCCACACACAATTTTGTAATGTAATGCTCGTTTTATTTGAAACCAAAAAATACCTACTGACAAGTGAATATAGAGCTGAGTACCTACGGTATGTAAATGAAGTGGTTTACACGAACGTGAACATAAACACGCATTTATATTACTTCCTTGTTATTGAGTGGCTGAAATTACATGCCCACCATGTAGTCTTATTTGTTTTACTATAAAGGTTTTGATACTGGACACGACCGTCTTATGAAGACGAAGTTTAATCAGTCACAATCATTATTATCATGTCGTCGACATGACTGTATCCAACTCACCACCCACTAAGAATCCGTAATTACATAGTAATCCTGTAATAAAGGTCCGATGCGCAGACACTCCGTCTACATATTCAGATGTGGAACGTTGTAAACAGTCACCTTGCGCCCTGCTTAAGTCCGAATGTCATGCGGTCAACACACAGCCGCATACGTTTATCATAATGCATTACTGGCTAGTTCGTAGCTCGTAGGTAAATCGGAAGGAAGCGATACTATAGAATTGTAAACGTAGCAGAACTATGTTGTACCGTACGCATTTACGCAATAAGATAATGTATTAGAAGTTTGCAAATTCTAAATACCTGATTTGGTTCAGAGAGTAGCGCTCTCCTGGTCTAGGCCTTCTAACCTAGTCCTAGTTGTCGCGGAGAACCTAACGGGTAACCAGGGCTCCGGCTCGACGTGCAGGAGAAGGAACGGGGTGGTTTTAGTCAGTAAGAGGCTGACACTCCCTCCCGCCTCACCCAGGCGGGAGCAGTCATTCGATGATTTTCCCCCCTTAAAAAAAACCTAGTCCTAGCTATCTCACCGATTGTTTAAAAACATCGCTCTAACAAGCTGTGATTTGAGAGATGCGCATTTAGTTTTGTTTAGTTGTCGCCACTGTAGCTTTTGGCTTATTACCTTTATCATTATCATCATCAACAGAGGCCTTAGTACTAGTTTGTTTTACGTTAAAAGTAATCGAAACGAGACTGCATTCGGGCGGTCTGATTGGTTAGTACATTGGAGCCGGCCAATCAGAGCGCCGAGTGCTTACTCGTTTCGATTACTTTTATCGTAAAAAACTCGTAGGTACTAAGGCCTCAGCCTGAAAGCGCTCACTACTGGGCAAAGGCTTCTTCTCACGCGAAGGAGTTTTGAGCATTAATCACCATGTTTGCTCGAAGCGGGTTGGCGATCGCAAACTTCGGTATACTTACCTACATATTTAGAAATTATAAGCCGAGGTTTTCTCACGATGTTTTCATGTACACGTATGTCAGTGGTGTCTAAATAATCCTAAGAAAAGTATAACAAACTGCAGATTTCTTCAATTTGAATAATAGCTTGCTAGGTAGGTATTTAAGTAGGAGCCATCAGACCACCACAAATGGGGCCCAATAGAGCTAATGCCGATACGGAGCCGCGGAAGACTTAATGGGTTGCCGGGGCTCCGGCTCGAAGTGCAGGAGTAGGAATGGGGTGGTTTTTAGTCAGTAATAGTCTGACACTCCCTCTCGCCTCACCCGGACGGGAGAAGTCATTGGATGATTATCCCCCCTCAAAAAAAAAGATAGGTATCTAGGTACCTACTGATATCTTCATAAAAAAAATAGCATTGTTGAAGTGTTTTTGGAGAAACCCACGTGTTTGTGTAGTTGTGAATGAATTCTGCAAATCAGAATTTCCAATTCCCATACCTAATGTAGGTGAAAATGTTTTAAAATTTAAATTGTGGATGCTCAATCATTGTATACCTACGAACCTGCGACGTTTTCGTTCTAGGAAATTATTTGAAAATAAACAACCAATTGTTTGCGACGCTTCCAATTGTGTTTACCTACCTTCTATCCACTTACACATAACATAACATCACGCCTTTTATCCCCGAAGGGGTAGGCAGAGGTGAACATTACGGCAGTTAATGCCACTTTACAATGTAACACCCACTTTTCACTATTTATGTTATGAGTCCCATGTAATAGGGGGTGAGCCTATTGCCATATACTGGGCACAATTCCCGACTCCGTGCTACTACTGAGAATTTTGAAAAAGAACCCAGTAATATTTTGCCCGACCTGGGAGTCGAACCCGAGACCCCTTGCCCGGCAGTCGCACTTGCGACCACTCGGCCAACGAGGCAGTCCACTCATATTCTGATTAATTTTGTGTTCAGATCCAAGACATCGGTTTCTCGTTGCTTTATGGTTCCGTTAACTAAATCGTTCCTATATAGGTAACTCGTGTTTCTTACAGAAATTATCTTAAATTAACCACATAACTGTTTTGCTTTTAAAAGTCTGTGACTTTAATTGACTTAAAAAGAAAACATTTTTTGTTTGTCCAACGTTAGAATAATTAAGAGAAACAAATAAAACATTGGTCGATGAACTTTATTAATTTAAAATTTAATTAGTTACCCTCGTGGTTTGTATACTGTCACTGGGTATAATATATTGTTGTTACTACGTTAAGATCTAGTCTTGGCAATTCTAATTTTAAGTATCTCACTCAATAATTACGCTTCAATAACTCTTCTTGCGGTAATTTCCTATGAATAAATAAACAAATCAAATTTTTGTTTTAATAACTTTTAACATCCTTAAGTTTTATCTTCTGTCATATTATTATACCAACCTATGCTTTATCTAATCAGCAAGTTGACTGTTCCAGATGACAGGCACTTGGTACGAAGTGGAGAGATCGTTCTACCTGGTGGAGCTGACGGCGAGCTGCACGGAGCTTCACCTCACACTCAACGAGAGGGGATACTTCCTCATCACTATTAATACGGTCAACAAATGGTAAATAATCCCTTGATTAAAATAACGGGTAGGATCCACAATTTAATCTTACATATTAAAGTAGTTTCACGTACCTAATACCTTGTTGCGCAACATGTTGCAGGCTCGGTTTACGTGCAAAACATTTTCAGGGTGAATCACTGCAGTTGTTGATTGGAATTAAAGTTCCATGTGATTTTGCGTTTACAAAATAGAGTTTGTGGTTTAGAACTACGGCCAAGAACGAAATAATAAATAAAAAATATATGTCTGTCGATCCTTCACTGCAGTTATTTGATGGAACCACCATTGCCTCAATCTTTAATAGGAACTTCATAATTATGATGCGCTATTTGTAACCCAGGACCAACAACCCATCAACAACGTATGGCATCGGCATCCCGAGCCACAACGCGTCGTCAATCTTCCGCTACAAGCTGAACAACCGCGTGCCGTACGTCATCGGGCGACTGCTGCCCGGCGCCGGCGTCTACAACATCCTCTTCACAGACTACGACCAGTTCGCCATCGTGTGGTCCTGTACCAGCGTCAGTATTGCACATTCAGGTAACTACAGCACTTTGATTTGTAAAATTTGTAAAATAAGTATCCATATGCCATGAATATTTTTTAGGGTGGTATTTAATACTTTAACTGTAAGTTCCCTTTTTTCAATCAAAATGTTTGAAATTACCACCAAAAATACTGAATTGCACGATAATTTGCTCATCAAATAAATCACTTATACTATACTGTTAGATCTTTCAAGCTGTTTTGCTGAATGACTTTCTTTTAACTAAAAGTAAATCTAATAATTCTTCGAGTGCAACAAAATCTTAACCTAACCTAACCCATAATCTTAACCAAAACCTAACCTAACCTAATATTCAACAATTTGTGTGCAAATGCAAATCAGTATTTTTGTTTTACGGTTCATTTTTTTGATATGCAGTAGGTAGGTTACTAGTGGAGGAATTTGGTTTGCTTAAATTTTTAAATAGAGGTGCAGTAAAAAATTCCCCTATTTTTTATAGTAAACGAGCAAATGGATCGCCTGGTAGTAAGTGATAGTCGCCGCCCCTGGATATCCTCGACACTGAAGGAGTTATAGTTTTTGTCGTTGCACCACGCAGGTGTTGTTGGAACTACCTATATCTAGTAGCTACGAGTACCTATACAGCCTTGGCCAAAAGTATTGAGCAGTCATGACATCTTTAAGATTTAAGCTGAGTTTCAAATTGAAATAAAACAAAACATTTTGTATGGGTTTATTTTACTATTTATTAATAGAAAATCAATATTTTGTTGGTCCACCCTTTGCCGTAATTACCTACAGCAGAAATTCTTTTTGGTAAATTATTAACGAGATTTTTACAGTCTTCAGAAGTAATTGCGTTCCATTCTAGGCGCAGGCAGCGTTTTAGATCTTCCTTGTTGTTGATTGTGTGGCGCCTAATCCTACGCTTTAATAAACCCTATAAATATTCTTTGGGGTTCAGATCTGGAGACTGGGCAGGCCAGTCAAGAAGCTCCGTGTTGTTTTCCCGAAACCATGACATTGTGCGGGCAGATTTGTGGCATGGTGCGTTATGTTGCTGGATTTTACACCATCCATGTTCGTGTCACCAAAAAGTTTCGTGAATGAAGGCAGTAACGCAGTTTCTAGTACATTTATGTACTTGGTAGAGTCCATGCGTGAGGGCCGCACGAACAATTCGCCAACTCCAGAATCGGTCATGCAACCCAGACCATTATGCTGCCGGGGCCGTGTTTAGCGCTGGGTATCACACACTTTGGCTAAAATTCTTCACCCATACGGCGACGCACGAAGGTCACACCAGGTGTACCAAAAATCTGTAATAAAGGAAAAAATATTGAGTTTTGTAAAACTAAAATTACTTCTTTCATACGTTTGGTTTTTCAACCATTTTATAAAATTGTATTAGGGCATTAAATTGACGTACTTACCTCAAAGTTTGATTCGTCGGACCACACAGTATTTGACCAATTTTCAGCGGCAAAAGTTCGGTGTTTTAAGGTACATTCATACCGAGCTTTTTTGTTGTTGTCGGAGAGCCATGGATTCTTCCTAGCTTTACATCCTTTCAGACCAGCTTCTTAAAGCCTTCTACGAGTAGTTCGAGCTGAAATTGGTTTCATAATTTGCTCTGACAACTCAGTAGCAAGCTCGGAAGATGTTTTTTTTCCTATTTCTTAATGACTCTCTCAGAAACTGACGATCCTGACGGTCTGTGGTGATGCGTTTGCGCCCGGTTCTTGATCTATTTTCATGTGATCCGGTAGCAGAGAACCGCTAAATAGCATATGCACGGATCGACGCGAACATTTCAGTTTTGGAAATCTCTACTTGCGATTTCCCTTGCTCATACAGAAGCTGTATCTGTACACGTTTTTCTAAAGAAAGTTCGTTTCGTTTAGGCATTTTGCAACGATAATACTAATAACTTCCGAAATAAAATACAAAAAGCGCAGTAGATCACTGAATGTGTTCACAACGAGCGATGGTAGCGAGCTAATAAATAAATACAAAAATTGTAAAATACACATTTTATTGCACCCAGGTGTTTTGTTGCTAGCTGCGGCGTGAGTCATTGTTTTTAAACCTTTGTAGATGACCGAGAAAATAGTTTATCAACAATAGATATGGTTTTCTCCCACACTTACCGTAAATGAGCGAAATTTGTAAGGTGCTCAATACTTTTGGCCAAGGCTGTATAATAAGCCACCATAGTTTGTAAGGTCCGTCCACTAATCATTAATGCTGATGATAATGTATTCCAGATCACATCTGGGTGCTGGGTCGGCGGCGTGAGATCGAGGCTCCGGTACGCGCGCAGATATACGCCATCATGGAGGAGCTGCGGCTCGACCCCGACAGACTCATTATATCTAAGAACAACAACTGTACCAACATCTCTGATAATAAAGTTTAGAATAGTTCATACATTTATTCTCTCTTTGCAATTCAGATCCAGAGTACAAAAATTTAAACAAAACTGGCTAGTAACTTTGCAGTAATTTTTTTTTTTAAACTTTGCCCGACACTGGGATTTTCTCCTGTGTCGTGGGTGCGTTTATAAACACACAAGTTCACATACACATTACACCCAGACCCGGAACAACAATTTGTGGATCACACAAAGTGTTGTTCCGTGCGGGAATCGAACCCGCGACACGTTGCTCGGGAGCCGGTTGCCCAGCCACCGCACCAACCGTGCAGTCGAAAATATTTGTATGTCATGTTTTCCTTTACACCTATGATTTTTTTTTGCCCACCTGATGGTAAGTGGTTACCATAGAGCATTCTCTATGGTAACCACTAGGAAAGGGTAATAAACAAAAACAATAATCAGACTTAAATTTTTTGGAAAAATATCTTATATTTACAGTAAAGTTTAATATAGTAGAAAACTTATGAGAAGTTCAGTAATGATTCAATAAGAAATAATCATCACTCACTAGAAATTTATCACGAACGACATGAAAATACTAGGCCCTGTTCACTGCCCATATTCTTAGGTATCTTCAATAGAAAAACCTTTACAATAAATGCCACGAAATTTCTTACAATAAAACTTACGTGGTTGTGTGTGAACAGAGCCCATGTGATGACAAGTACAATAAAAGTATAACAAGAAAAGAAATAAATAATATATTATGCTATCAAAGAAAAATAATGTGTAACCAGAAAATAAAGAATATAGTCAACAAAATAAACAGTCAAAAGTTTATCTGTAACAACATTAATCTATTATTTTGGCCAAGTTATCCATAATTATAGAATCAAACAGTTTGGTTATCATATTTGGCATAGTATTGAAGTATATTATTGTAACATCAACAGACAGCATCAAACACTATCACATCTATTATTATTATTGCTGTTTATTATGATTCCTATTTATTATGAAGATCAAGACCTCTAAAAGTTTTGAAACAACTATGAAGATCGGATGGCTTACATAATTTTACAGTCTTTAACATATTGCTATAAAAAGACCATCGTTTAAGGCAAGATCTATCTAGTTTTACAATGATTGTTACTATTTGTAACCTTAGGCCTCATATAACACAAAAATAAAATTAAATAAAAACAACAATATGTTGCAATGTCAACATTATTTGTGCAAACAAAAATAAAGTGCATATAAAAACAAATATATTATTATCAATAAATTAATCTGAACAATACCTTGTTTAAGTACTGAGACAACAGACTGCAGTAATTACTTGACAGCCAGTTTGTCAAACCAACACCATTACTAATGAATGTATCTTTCAATACACAACACACATACAGTGAAACATCTGTGAACACATTATAAATTGCTATACGGCCACAAGCAGTCGGAGGAAAGTATTACCAAGTCTAAGATTCACACATTAATAATTAATTTCTGCACTGCCGACACAATTACTCACTTCTGTCAATTTGAGGCACTCAGCGTCACGGTTTCTGTAGTCGTATTGTGACAGTGACGATATACTGTCCCCAGGGCTGTCACACTGACCGTCAGTCTGTGGCAGCCCTGTGTTTTGTGCGGACTGCTTGTTGCTGTCCATGGTGTACTGGTGCATCCACAGCTGCTTCTCCTCCACTTCCTTGCTTACCACAACAAACAATTCTTTTTCTTTGCTATCCAACTGTTCTTTCAGGTACGCTATTAAATCACTACTCTGTAAAGAAAATAAGATAACTTGTAAAAATTTTTAGCCCAAGTACATTTTTGTAAGTAATCAGTATAATGAAAACAAATATTTTGATAATATTATCACATAATGCAAGTGATTGCAGATTTTGATTTGATGATAATTACCCTTCCAATCAACTGTGGTGATTCTAGTTTGGAATCCAGATTGTAGAAGTTGCCCTGTATCTGTCTTATGGTGATCCAGTGCCGACGTCGCAGCGGTAACATCACAAACCCTAGCTTATAATCTGATGGCACATTCAGGATGAATCCACAGATGTTTGACAAATCCAAACAACCAGGGTCCCTGGCAAAGAAAATATAGCATTATTACTCTAAACTTAGTTACTTCTACCTAAATTAATATCATATTGTATCTCAGTAGTTATTCTAGCAGAATATTTACTTATTTATTTACACATAACATACAAATATCCTTACAGGCTAATCCCAATGCGAGATTGCAGCAAATATTTAAATAACAATAATAATCAAAATATATAAACAAGAAATACCCATATACAATAGAATATATAATAGTTACTTATACTGCTTTTACTATATATAGCATATCCTATGCATGGCTTCTATTGTAAGTTCTCCTAAACAGCAACAGAATATGTACACATCATTAGTAATGAGGTCAGAGTGCGAAGCGCACACATGAGCTGCACCTCCCGTGGCAAGTTAGTTCGCAAACGTGGTTCTGCCAGTAGCCACGGCTGGCGATAACGACTCATGTATCCATCGGACAAGACCAGTTCAACCCTACGCAATATATCCGGATTGTGTATCTTGCCCCGAATTATCTTAAAGATACAAGTCAACAATGCGAGTTGCCTCCTGACCTGTAGTTCATTATATCCGACCATACCCAAGACAAACAGAGTTGGATACATTAATGGGTAGAATGGATATACCCCGAACAGTCTCATATACTTATATCTCATGAATTTATTCTGTACTCACTCAAGCATGAGTCTGTACTTAAATTCATGTGGCGCCCAGATCACTGCATTGCATTCAAGCTGGTTTCTTACTAAGGCATTATATCATAGGCATATAATTGATAATTATATTTTAAAATTTTATTATTAGTAGGGTAAACAAAAAATTTGATTATTGCAGGTTTTTTTTTTTTTTATGGGGGGAAAATCATCGAATGACTGCTCCCGCCTGGGTGAGGCGGAAGGGAGTGTCAGACTCTTACTGACTAAAAACCACCCCGTTCCTTCTCCTGCACGTCGAGCCGGAGCCCCGGTTACCCGTTAGGTTCTCCGCGACATTATTGCATGTTATTTCGGATATAAGAGTGAAATACTTACTTTCTCTTATCAAACCAGACAGCTTCACAGCCTTTCTTCTGTAAAGCTGCCATTATCACATTGATATCGTAGTTGCCAAGCCCCAGCATGGAGCGGTGAGGATTGATCCACACATTTGGTGATAGCCTGCTGCATATTGCATCTAACTCAGACTTCGAATATGTAGCTCGCATCTGGAAATATAAAAATCCATTATAACAGACTTTATCACCGTATTGACTCAAAAAGCAAGATTAGCCATCAAAAAAGGCTAAAGTTTGAAGTATCTAACAATAGCGCTTGGCGGTCACACCTGACTAAAAACAATAGGACTCATTAAAATTCAATAATTACCTGGAATAAATTGTTAAGCGCATGTAAAGCGCACAACTCTTTAACCTGTTTTTCATGATAAATTGTTTGTTTCGAACTCATCGCGTTTACATCCCATTCAAAGTGCTTCTATTAAACAAAGTCACATGGTCTTCTCACTAAGACGCCTATTATATTGTTGGATTTTTTACATTAATTAACTTTACAACACGGATTATAAGGATTTTTGTGTAAAAATCGCAGAAAGCAGAAATATTCACAAACTTGACAATTTTCTTTGACAAACAATTTGGCTTGACTTTCTTGACAGCTGTCCTTTAGATTAGAGTAGTGTCGTATCTTCAGCACTTAGCACTAAGCCCAGAATTAAGCACGTTTAATTAGTCACTTTAAGTTACTAAGTTTTTTTTACTCCTATTGCGAGAATTTCAGTACGCTTTTTAATTACTCTATGGATGTTGTAATTGCTTATGGTTTGGCATGGCGGGTTTACTTGAATGTTTGATGTTTGCTTAAGTTTGACAGATTGATTTACAGTAATTCCTCTAGAATCGTTCTCATTTGTACTTTTTGTTGATAAGCTACTATTAAACAAAAAATGTTTGAAACAAATGAAATAGAGGGTTTATTTCCTGAAGATGAATATGAAAGTCATCTGTCTACCATCAATAAGTCTACGTTACAACAACTTCAACTTTCTTTACCCAGGTAACTTCTAATACCTATATATGTTACACTAACAGTAACGTACTTAAATAGTTATTTGTATTTATTACTTGTTATGTTTATGTTTCTAGTGCCTCTAATATAACAACAAATGTCCTGCTGAATGATGTTTGGAATAGCAATCGAGAGTTGATGACTGCTGATACAATCAATCATATTCTTAGCTCTGCTAACAATCTTCTGCAAAACGCTGATACGAGTCAGATGAAAACATGGAAAAGTAGTTTAAGGTAAGTGTAACTGCTTATCTATATATTATCTCTTTCCACAGTCAACAATAACATACTTAAAATCTTATTGCAGCAATTATGATCTACGATCTCTTATCGAACAAACAATACCAAGTTGCGAACAATGCAACTCCAGTTTGAAAGGAGACATAAATCAGTTTCTAAAAAACAAATGTATGTGTAACCTAGGCTTAGCGGAAACTACAGATAAATCTTCAAACCAAACACACAACACAGAAACAAAAAGTAATTCATATTTTGTTAAGAACTTGAATGTAGACAGTTCAAGTCAGGAGTCAAGGTCTGGGGAGGATGAGAAACAGGTATTTAAGCCAAGGTTTGGTAGACCAAAACCTTGTAAAGCTGTTGGTCAGCCACAGCCAACAATGTCCAGTACTCCTATTGCTGAGGTAGTGGACTTTGAAAAAGAAGAAGAGGAGAATAAGGCACATAAGAGTAATGTGGCTAAGATCATGTTCAAGACTGCTAAAGAAACCTTGCTAGCCTCTAACCCTGCTGCCAAGAGGACATTGGGAACCTCCAGGAAAGCTCAGGCTAAGTTTGTGTCACCTATGATTGGTGCTCAGTAAGTATAAAATTATGTCAACTTTTACTTTTTACCATGGAGGTTTTATTAACATTAGCATAAAGTAGTATTTAAATAATCATTGTTTACTAACCAAAATAAATTGAATAAAAATCGAAAATATTATTTTGTTATATTTCATTATCTGTTACTCTTTTTAGAGATAGACAGGAGACTGTAGAGCCTGAGGTGACAGATGAGCGCCTCAAACACATTGATCCTAAAATGATTGAACTAATTGAAAGTGAAATTATTGATAAAGGGACTCCAATAGGTCAGTGTCTACTATTAGCTTAAAATTAAATATAAGTCCTCCACAAATGTTCATTCATGTGATGATTAAGAACTTTAAAATTAAGTTTAATATTAATAAGCATTCTGAAAATCAATTGAAATTTTTATAAATATTCTTCTAGGTTGGGATGACATAGCTGGTCTACACCTAGCCAAGTCAGTGATACAAGAGGCAGTTGTGTGGCCTCTGCTCCGGCCTGACATTTTCACAGGGTTGAGACGCCCACCTAAAGGAATTCTCTTATTCGGACCACCTGGCACTGGAAAAACTTTAATTGGTAACATTATTGCATTATGTATTATTAAGAAACTTACTCAACCATTTTACCCAATATCTGGTTTACAGGCATTTCGTAACACACAAGGCAGTCCGCAGTAACTGATAGATAATTATGCTGCATTTGACATGGTTTTACTGACATCCGAAAAGGTTCTCAATTTGTCTGTTTTTTGTTTTGAAACAACAACAGTGACATATTCACAGGTTGGATCAACACAAGTAAACTCTAGTTAGCTAGAGTTTAGCCATAACCATGAGAGAACTCATAGTAGCCAGAACTGAACAATATGGTCTAGATGTTAGATTTTAAGTTTAGAGCTTAGTGTTAGTGTAGTGTAACATGCTCATTGTTTGTTTGTATGTTAGGCAAATGTGTAGCTGCGCAGTGTAACGCGACATTCTTCAGCATCTCGGCGTCGTCGCTCACTTCCAAATGGATCGGTGATGGAGAGAAGATGGTGCGCGCGCTCTTCGCCGTCGCCAGGTGTCACCAACCTGCTGTGAGTGCCTACATTAATGTTGTACGAACGAAACTTAATATAATATCACGCCTTCTAATCTCTAACAGAGCAAGTACAGTTAGTACGGCCCGTGCCCCAACATTTATCGGCGGTTGTTCTAGAGTCTACACTCACAAACAAAGCACTCTCATTTTATAGCTTCTGATTTGGTTTGTTACAGGTAATATTTATTGACGAGATAGACTCTCTGCTGACCCAGCGCAGCGACACAGAGCATGAAGCCACCAGGAGGATCAAGACTGAGTTCTTAGTTCAGTTTGATGGAGCAGCTACTGGTAAGCTGATTTCGTTGATAATAGGGTAGAAAATCCAATATCCATCACCAAGAACTACTTTTCTCCAGTTTTGATAGTAAGGGGGGAGTGACTGTATTACATACATTTTATAAAATATTTTAGTCTGCAAATTTTCAATATCGTATGAACCCTCAATCAAAAATATACTTTCTATTTGCGCAACAGGTGAAGAAGACCGTCTACTGATAGTGGGCGCCACCAACCGTCCGCAAGAGTTAGACGAGGCCGCGCGCAGGCGACTCGTCAAAAGACTGTATATACCACTACCTGATGCCGACGTAAGTATCTGATGAAACTCGCAAAATGATTTCTGTTTTGAATTTGGTTTTTAGTACAAAGGTCTTTGAAGATCAAGCTCGATAAGTGTAGATCTATTTATATTTTACAGGCTCGCAAGCAGATAATAACGAATCTATTAGCGAACGAAACCAATGACCTGACAGCACAGCACATATCCGAAATAGCGAACTTGACGGAGGGGTACTCCGGTGCAGACATGAAGTCACTCTGTTCCGAAGCAGCTATGGGGCCCATTCGCTCTGTACCATTATCCCAAATCGTCAGCATTGATAGGAATAAGGTAATGTTACAAATAACTTATTTAATGATTAACAATGAGATCTACTTTGGCTTATGAGATGGCGCTAGTGTAGCGTGGGTTACCATTTGGCGGCTTCTGTGTTTGGACAAATAGATAGGTATATCAAATGTATAAATCGAATTTCAAATTTCAGGTGCGGCCCGTTTGTATTCAAGACTTCTTAAATGCTCTACAAAGAGTGAAGCCTAGCGTGTCCCAAGACGACCTAGGTCAATACGTTAAGTGGAATACAACTTATGGTCAAGGATTTTAATAAATAGTAATGAATTATAACATATTATCTTATTTCTTGTGTAACTGTAACATGGTAGTGAGTACCCCAAATTTTTTCTGTCAATTATTTTCCATAATTGTTTCGGCGTCCTCCCATCTGGATTCTATCAGTGACTACAAAATGATAATAAAATGCAAATTAAAATGTTATAACATTATACACTACATTCAACAACTTTTACTTCGGTAGGTAGCTAAAATTAAATGATTTAAAACTATGTACTGTCAGTAATCGTGTTTGTCATTTTTATAATGTCAAATCTTGACAAGTGTCAAGTCAATACTTGTCATTACTTGTTGTGACTGTGATGTGATGTGTGATTTTGAGATAACAATTTTAGCGCGGAACAGGCAGAATTTGCATACAATTTTAGAAAAATGATATAATAGCCTGTATAGTAAATAACTCGAAGATATAAAACATAGTACAAAATGGATAAAGATAATCGTGTGGTTGTGCTCATCGACATGGACTGTTTTTATTGCCAAGTTGAAGAAAAACTTAACCCAGAATTGAGTGGAAAACCTATAGCTGTAGTGCAATATAATCCTTGGCAAGGCGGCGGGTACGTATCACACAACAATATAAACTATAAATAGGTAATAACCTAGTTTTACACCATGGAAGTTGGTACTCAGATTGCTTCAATGTTTCGCAAGATAATGGTCAATTTGTTTCAGAATCATAGCAGTAAACTATGTAGCTAGAGCCCGCGGAGTCACTCGCCACATGAGAGGGAAGGAGGCCAAAGAAAAGTGCCCGGATATAGAATTGCCGTCTGTACCCTGTCAGAGAGGCAAAGCTGACATATCCAAGTGAGTTTTATTTTAATTGATAAACCATATGTCTGACTTAATTTAGAATGGTTTTAAAAACAATCCTCAAATTCCCAATTTCTAAAAGGCCGGTAACGCACTTGTAACATCTTGGTGTTTCAAGTGTCCATGGGTGGCGTTGATTGCTTACCATCAAGTGATCCGTCTGCTTGTTTACCGGCTTATGAAAAAAAAAGGGTTAACATTTCTTTCAGCCTTTCATAATCATTAGACTGCACCGTTGGTGCGGTGGCTGGGAAACTGGCTGCCAGATAATGTGTAGTGGGTATGATTACCACACTGAGCAACTCTTTGTGTGATCTACAAATTAAACTGTCAAACACCGAGCGGTCACCGGTGACTGCAACCTATTGTTCTTTAATTGTGTCTATAATGACGGTACTCAACAAGTTAAAGTTTCGGTCTGGGTATCTTGTGCATGTGAAATTGCATATTTATTAATTGCAACCACAGGAGAAAATCGTAGTGTAGGGCAACATTTCAAAAATCTACAAAAACATTGTCAATTTCTATCTACCGTTGAACATACGCTAGCTCTTACCACGAGGTATATGGAATTTATCTAACATCATTCTATCACAAATATGGTGAGTTTAGTTATTCCCATATCTCAGCAGACTTGGGACATGAACATATATCCATCAGTACCTACTAAGAGAACATCTGTACATGTCTATTGTTTTTTAGTGTGAAATAAAGGTTTTTCTTTTCTATTAACAATTCCTTCCAATTTGTCTCAGGTATAGAGATGCTGGTAAAGAAGTAGCAAGAGTACTGCAGAAGTTCACACCTCTTCTAGAGAGAGCTTCCATTGACGAAGCTTACCTAGACATCACAGCTCCGGTAAGTAGCTCTTTAAATAAAAATAGACAGTAGTTTCTGTTTGTAGACAATATTTTGAATATTGTTGTAGATACAAAATTTTCTTCTACTCTGTGCAAGTGTCGACAGGAGATCATTTTAAAAATATAACTTAACATATTTTTCCAAAAATCCATATGAAATGAAATTATATTAATTTCTTAGTTTATAAATATGCATTACTTCAATTTCCAGGTGGAAGCGCGACTGAATACTCTGAATGTTAACTCGGTGCATACTGATATGATGCCCAACACCTTTGCCCTTGGTTATGATAGTGTGGATGAGTTCTTGGCTGATGTCCACTCATGTGGCTTTGAGAATATTGAGTTTGACTATGAACATGCCAAACGGTTGCTTGTAGGTGCTGTTATTGTCAGCGAGATTAGATCTGCCGTTTACGAAGAAACAGGTATTAAAGTCATTACTGTGTGTACTTGTGTTATTGTTGTATAGTAGTAAATTTGTATTTTTAAATTATATTTTATTATTCTTCCAGGTTATAGATGCTCAGCAGGCATAGCTCACAATAAAATTCTAGCGAAACTAGTATGTGGAATGAACAAACCTAATAAACAGACTGTTCTCCCTAAACATTCTATTAATTTATTGTACAGGTATGTGTTTAAAATTGTTTTCCTAAGCCTTTTGATTGAAGTGTTTGGTAAACTAATATATCATCAGTTGTTTCACAAAATAATATCTTATTTTCAGCACATTGCCATTGAAGAAAGTGAAACATCTTGGAGGAAAGTTTGGTTACACTGTCTGTGAAGTATTGAAAATAAGCAAAATGGGAGAGCTACAAAAGTTCACAGAAAAGCAACTGCAATTAAAGTTTGATGAGAAAAATGGGTAAGCAAACAAATTATGAAAATTATTAATTTCTCTACAAAGTACACCATTTCAATAAATATAATGGTTATTGTCTACAGGACATGGCTATACAATATTGCGCGAGGAATAGATTTGGAACCAGTTCAAGCAAAATTCAACCCTAAAAGTATAGGATGCTGCAAAAATTTCAAAGGAAAGGCGGCTCTCCTCAAGTTGGAGACTTTGCAGAGGTGGCTCAAAGACCTGGGCGACGAAATAGAAGACAGATTAGAGCAGGATGCAATAGAAAATAATAGGACACCAAAACAAATGGTTGTCAGTTACTCTGTGCAGGTATCGGACAAAGATATAAGTAGTTCCCGATCATATAATTTTACCCCTGAAGATGAACTGTGTGGTGAACTATTTTCAAGCAAAGCTTTAGAACTTCTTCTGGAAAGTTCTGAAGGAATCAAGAGTAAAGGTAAGATGCATACCAACAATCCAAAATGTTGCATACATATTAACTATTATTCTCAATTCCTTTATTGTTACAGATTGCACCAGTAACATGAGGTTAAAAGCTCCAATAAAATTCTTAGGTATCAGTGTTGGAAAGTTTGAAGACAACACAGAAATAAAGAAAACTAAGAAAATATTAGATTATTTTGCAGCTGGAACATCTAATGTTAGTGTAAAACCTAAAGATTGCACACAACAAGAAAAGACAATGAATGAAACCAGTGATAAAATGAAATCAGACTCTAAGAACATTGGCAAAGATTACATAATGCAAAAATTTTTACATGCATCACAAAAACCTCAAGTATGTGAAAGTATACAGAAAGAGAATGTTGAAAAAGTCAATCAAACTAATAAGCCAGTTCTAGAGTCCAGCCTAGACAAGCAAGAGTCATTTTTTGCTAAAATATTGAACCAAAACAAACAACCTAACATTAGCAGAGTGCAACAATCTGAAGTAGATCTTCAGAAAATACGACCAACGACGCCAGTCTGCGATGTAGTCGCGTGTGGGGAAAATAGCAATGACTCGAATTATTCAGGTTCAACAATTAACGAGGAAATAAACAATAGTGTGGCTTTGTTTGAAGAGGACCCTACGAAAGTGGCTCGTGTTAAAAGTATTAGGGAGCTGTTAACTAGCTCGCGAATAAAAGATGAAGATGTCTCAGACACCGCATCGGAACCTGATCAGAAAAGTAATGAAATACCGCCAATGGCGCCTCGAAATGAAGTGCCGCAAATGATGTCTCGAAATGAAGAGACCTATAAATGTCCTGATTGCAATAAAGCAATACGTATCACCGAAGTTGCTGAACATTCAGATTTTCATCTTGCATTGAAGTTAAGAGAAGAGGAGAGACAACATGTGCGCACAGAAATAAAGGAACGAAAAGAAGTAAAATTGAAACAGAGCATGGAATCCAGAAAGCAACAACAGACCACAAAACCTGAAACTGCGCCTGCATCTTCTATAGCTAGCTTTTTAGTTAAAATTGATGACAATATTCCAACAGAGATATGCTCAACCTGTGGAAAAAAGGTGCCTATGGATAAGTTTGCAGAACATCTAGATTTCCATGAAGCTCAAAAACTAAGTAGAGAACTAAATAAGAAAACCAGTCCACAGTTCATTGGCGGTAGTGTAAAACGAAAACGGAAATCCAATTCACCAATAAAGAAAAATAAAATGCCATGCAGGCCAATTGACTCGTTCTTTAGATGACATATTGTGATATAAAATGATATTAATAATTGGAAATAAAAATTAAAACACAGTGGTTGTTGTTTCATGGTATAATTATTGATGTTAAAGATTTACATGCTGTAGATCTCATTTTGGATCTTCCTCCACGCGTCGAGGGGTCCGTGCTCAGGGCGGTACCTGACGTTGCAACCGTCATTGGCTAGACGACCGTCCTCACGCAGCTTCTCAAACTCTTCACGCTCGTACTTGGTGAAGCCCCATTTCTTGGAGACGTAGATCTGGAATTTTTTATTGTATATTTTAAAAAAATTGTTCGTCATCATATGACGATTTATTGAACAAGATGCTCTTAACTTTTTGAAAGTATAGCTTCTATATGAATAATCACTACTACTGTACCTTCTGACGGCCGGGGAACTTGAACTTGGCACGACGCAGAGCCTCGATGACCTGCGCCTTCCAACGGTCGCTGGAGCGCACGGACATGATGGGCTGACCAATGCGCACACGCGCTACGGTACCTTGGGGCTTGCCGAAAGCACCACGCATCCCAGTCTGGAGCCTGAAAAGTGCCAAGTTTAACATTAATCAATTGAAATAAATTTAAGTTGGATTGAAATACTGTCATAAATTTACAAATTACAGTCTAATTCAAGATTATTAAAGAGTTCATATTAGAATCTGCAAATAAGTAATTCAGGGATTTACTAGATAAATCTAGTACTCCCCAATGCAGGACTCATGCAGAGTTTAAAACAAAAACCAGCCTGTGAACTCTTGATTGTAGGGCAGATGCCTAGTCTACACAAGAAGCTTTGAAGAGGTTATAAAGCACTAAATGAGTCAGCAGATTTGTCTTAACTAATTGGTATTGAATATGACCAAGGAATTTCCATAATCTCATTTTAAAAGTCATTCTCTATGAATCATTGCTAAATAACAAAAATAGGATAAACACAATATTGTGCAACCATGACTACAATGTTTTGTTTATCACTGTTTACCAGTGTGAGATGATATGCAACTTTAAATACAACTTATCATGAACATGATACTGGAATGATAACAAAATTGAGTACCTGTGTTCTATACACACTTTTGTCCTTTGTATATGATAATCCTACTTAATATTATAAATGCGAAAGTTTGTGAGGATGTGTGTATAACTCTTTCAAGTAAAAACTGAAGGGATAGAGATGAAAATTGGAACAGGGTAGATTATGGTCTGGAATACCACGGAGGTCACTTTTTATCCCACAGGAATGCGAATAAAGCTGCTTAGCAAAAGCTAGTATGAAAAATATAGAAGGAAAAAAGGTATCAAATAGCTTTTAGGTATCATTTCACTACCTAACTAGAAACTGAATAAAGTGACTTACAACTTCATTTCTTCTGAATGAACAATTTTTTACCTTCTAAACTAACAAGTCTGATTTGGAAATAAGCAAATAATAAAAATTTTAGTCTCACACTACGCCCCAGAAGCATGTATGTTTAACAAGATTCAGTTAAAAAATATTCTTGAAAAACTAACTTTATAAATACAGACACATGAGAATTAGAGGTTATGTCAAGATACTTTGTTTCTAAAGCATTGTATTACACAAGACTTAAGAATCCCTTGCATTCTATATGAGATGGTTTAAGTCTAATGTGATGGTTATTGGTACAGCATAGCTTCACTTAAGAATTTACAGCTATGTACAAGATTTTAGGTTAGGTTAACATGAAACTACTATTATTACTGTTTCATTCCAGCATCAGTTAAAAAGTGGCATAATTACTTACAAAGCATAGACAGAATTCATTTAAATTACTAGTCACAACCACACTCAACATATAAACAAAGCATTTTAGAAAGTCTTTAGAAATGAAATGTACACTTATAAGTAAAAAAACAAGAGGCTGGTTATTTTTAGTTTATCTTGAGCATATTTAATGAAAGTATGCTTACCTATCAGCTCCAGCGCACGATAACATTTTGTTGATGCGGATGACATGGAATGGATGCAGCCTCATGCGGATGTGGAACTGATCTTTGCCGCAGTTCTTGACAAGGTACTTGTTGCAGCAAATACGGCCTGCTTCCAGAGCCTCGGAGCTAAGCTGCTCGTATTCGTCAGACACCAAGTGGACGCATAGTGGGAAGTCGTCCACCGTAGCCTTCTTCTTACCCAAGTCGAAGATACGGATCTTGGGATCGGGCACACCACGACAGAACCGTGATTTAGGGTATGGTTTGTTTTTACAATACCGGTAACTGAAATAATAAGTTGAGTCATTCAAATATGTTAAAATGATTACGAAAACAACTTTCAGAGGTTGTAAATAGTTTACCATCTCGCTGGCCGGCGCCCCATTGTGATCTGAAATAAATAAAAATATTCACTTAGTTAGTTTCACACAACACGCTTTAGCAATATGATCAAGAAATATCAAGCACTCTTCAAGATTACAATAGATTTTATATCAAAAAATTTATCCGCACCTTCACAAAGTGACACCACTTCCACGAAAAGACAGACGGATGTTAGTTTGACATTGACGTAGACTTTGGTTCTGGGTTACTACTACAAAAATATATGAACTATTACCTATATAATTTAAATTGAAAAAAAAATAGATAAACCATGTACTACTTCACATATACTATAACAAAGAGATAAAAATTAAATATAAGTAAAGAAATCTAAAAAATAACTATATTTGTCTTTTAGTTTTACTTTTATGCTAGATTTAATTGACTGTTTAATATTTCAAATAGTTTTTTATAGACGCATAACGGAAGAAAAGTCACTATCTAAGACCTTTACTCACTGTACTGACATATAATTACCAATGAGATCAAAGAGTATCAATACATAGTATAAAACAAAGTCGCTTTCGCTATATGTCCGTATGTATGCTTAGATCTTTAAAACTACGCAACGGATTTTGATGCGGTTTTTTTTAATAGATAGAGTTATTCTTAAGGAAGGTTTGTATGTATAATACATGCATATTGCACCCGTGCGAAGCCGGGGCGGGTCACTAGTAATAAATATATGGGATAATGAGATATCCCATCTCAACAATCCTACATGTTTGGGACTTTGGGACTTGGATTAAGTTTAGGTCTAGTAAAATAGTACTAGTTTAATAAATAAACAAAATAGTGGTGTTACATCGCTTTCACGTCTATTAATCAGTATTTTATCAGAAATTATGCATATTTTCCTATTTTAATATGGTTTTTTATCGTTCTAGTGGGGACAGAATGTTAACCAGTTCAAAAACAGACTTGACAGATACACAACATCGAATTAACCACTGATTGAAGAATACGATACAGACATTTATCAGTTGTTTCAACTGCCTGTCTGAATTAAATAAATAATAATAAGTAATATTTTTTCTGATTTTAATTTATTTCTGAATTTCCATTGACAGGGCTGACAGTTTTTGGACATTATATTGACAAGACATTTCTAAAATGTCAGCTGTGTTTCGAACAAAATAGACGTATTTTTGCGTAAAAATATTAATTTAATGCTAATATTCGTGATTATAGAATATGGGAGCCTTAACAAGTAGGCAAAATGCTGGAGTTGAAGAAGCAGATGTAGTGTCTAATCATGCGTACAAATATCCTCCTCGATCAGGTAAATGGACCTTTTTTGTAAATACTTATTTATATAGTGGTGCTGTTTGTCGTCTATAAACCCAACTATTCTTCATATTAATTCAGATAGGTAATTAAAATACGAAATTCGCCCCATTTAAATAATTTTGTCCTGCTTTCCAAAGGCAACAAAATCTATATTTCCTCAAATATCGATTTCTTGACACAATGACCTTATATTGTGTGCAGTGTCCATTTTTGTCATCAATTGAAATGTATTAATGAATAATATGCTCAATATTAAGCTCGAGAGCTATCTTCATTCACTTTAACTCATTAATTTTATGATATGATTTTTATTTGTATGACACCTATTTATAAGTAAGTCAATGCTATAAGGAACATTTAGAAACTGATGATGCAGGTAATTACTTTGGGAGCCACTTTATTATGGGTGGCGAAAGATTTGACACACCACAGCCTGAAGCCTATTTATTTGGAGAAAATGCTGACTTGAATTTCCTTGGCAGTAGACCCACACCTGTAAGTATAGTGACTAAAACAATAATTTACCTGGTATTAAATAATGAAGATACACAATAAGACATTTAAGGAAATTAATAGTTAATATTATCTATAAAATTGTTTGTTTCTCTTTGATTCTGAGTGTAGTTTTACTGAATTATTGTAATTGTTATCTTTATTATTATCACAATTTAAATAACTCCAATTGGTATGTTCTCAGTTCCCCTACCCTCCACCACAGTCCAATGAACCGACAAAAACATTGAAAAGTTTAGTTAACATACGTAAAGAGTCTTTGCGTTTTGTGCGTTGTCCGGAACCAGTTGGCAAGTTGGCAGAGAATAAGATCGGGGATGGCTTGAACAAGTCTGTAGATAATAATGGCAAGGGGACATACTACAATATTGAGTTTACATTTGATTGTGATGCCAGATGTGCCATTACTATCTTCTATTTCTGTACTGAAGAAGTCACTCCTACTGGTGTTGTGTAAGTACTTCAGCTAAGTTTTTATTTAAGTTTCTTACTGTTATGTTACTCATGTATCTGCTGTAATTGTTATAATTATTAATTGTACCATGTATAGGTACTTGTGCAGATAGGCTATGGCCATTATGCAATGTTTTCAACCTTTATTATTGTAATACTGATTATAATCAATGTGCTAATGTGACCTCATGGTCATTGATATTGTACAATAACATGCCATGGAAACAATTGTTATGTTATACTTTTTTATTTACCTTTTATGTACCTGTTATACATTTATAAACTAGGTTTAAATCTAATTAGTAGTTATATTAATGCAAAGTAACCCAGATCATTAACCAGTTTCATTAATTGAACAAAGTAATGTAACAGCAGTATCATGGTAGATAATGAGAATGCGTAGATAATAAGAATGCGTACTTAATGTCATGCAATTGAATGACAGTTTCGAATAAGTACAATTTTTATAATAACTATTGTACAAAATATTATATTAACTAAAATATGAGTATATATATACTTGAATGTACTGAGAAAAGCTCTATAGTTTCGAATCAATCCTCATGAGCAGCGTGCGCGGTTTCGGCGATGTCGCGTAGCCTACTGTAAGTACTGTAGTATTTTTAATTAAGTAATATTTTTGTACTACAGGTACTACCCACGCGACCCCGCAATGAGTTCTCAGACATACCACTATAAAAAGGGTGCCAACCAGCAGTTCTGTCAGATATCTCATGTGTTTGACCCATCGAAGCACCCTGAGGAAGACTTGGTATACAATGCGGACAGAGAGATCATACCTATTGCTATTTACTGTGTGGTTGATGAGGGACAGGAAGGTAGGCATTACACCAACATAGATAATATCTATCTGTGCTTATTTATTTACTTAATAAAAAAAAATATATTAAAAGTCTTTATCTAGTCTTATACATATTTCTTGTCGCGGAGAACCTAACGGTCGCGGAGAACCTAACGGGTAACCGGGGCTCCGGCTCGACGTGCAGGAGAAGGAACGGGGTGGTTTTTAGTCAGTAAGAGTCTGACACTCCCTCCCGCCTCACCCAGGCGGGGGCAGTCATTCGATGATTTTACCCCCTTAAAAAAAAAAAAAAATACATATTTCTTTGTACAGACAGGACATCAACTTTTTTTTTTTTCTTTTATTTATCGTATTTACAATAAGTACAGGATTTTTCATTTAAAATAGCAACCAAAACCCACTAAGGTTTAAACTTATGCTATCATAAATCAATCTCGAAATCGAATTTTGATATAATAGTAGGGGAGCCCATGAAGGAATTTCGGTAGTTACTCGAGCGCGTCAGATTAACATATGGGAAAAACCTAGTGTCATGTTGAATATACCCAACATATATCCGATCTGATCAGAAGGGGGGGACTGAAAATTAAAAAAAAAGTCTGACTAAATAAAGTCAGTTTCGTCAGATTAAGGGAAGGTAGGTCAATACCGTGCAAAAGGAAGTGCGTTTAAAAAATCTGCCCATTCCAACTTGATTTGCAAGAGTGGGGGGATTTTGAAGGGTTCCCGTTTGTACTCTCCAGAACATTCAACCCCACCATGCAAACTGGCAGATTAAGAGTTTTTTATTATTAAATACACATGGAGCATGTACATTATCAATATCTGACACGCTCGACCACTAGAACAAAAGTTACGCTTAACAATTTCAAAGATCTGTAGATTCCCCCTTCCCCCACTGGTGGAAGAAATTGTCACTAAACCATTTCTTCTTTCTATCAGCATATCTTCAAAATCCAGTAGGTCCCAAGGACGCTCAAGTAAATCCCAATTTAGCATCGTGGGCTCCCCTACTATAATAAAATGAGGTTTTACAAATATATACCTATATCTGTTTGTCAGTATTTGATCGATTTTCAACTTAATCACAAGGAAATAAAGTTTGAAGTTAGTTATCACAACATTTCATCTATCATTTGTTGTATTTTAACTCTTAAAGTATTATAGTATCTGCTTCCAATTCAAAATCATAATCATTATTATTACGTATTTTTTTTTATAGAAATAAGACAATCGCACACGACCATCGCGGTAGTGGAGAAGCACTCGGACGGTACGTACGTGCTGAAGGCGTTGAAACAGAAGCTGTTCGTGGACGGTCTGTGCTACCTACTGCAGGAGATATACGGCATCGAGAACAAGAGCCTCGACACTAAGGTATGTCGTCAACCGCCATAAGCAGTCTAGAGTGACACTCATAATTTGATCACCGAAAAGTGAATCCTTCCTAGCATCCATACAATACGACATGGTTCTTCCCGAATTTGCTTATCTGTTTATTTGAATACAATACAAAACAAACAAATACAAAAAAAATATTAAGAATTCCTATTTTTTATAATCGTATAATACGTGAATAAAGTAAATTTATTTTATTTATTTATTTATTTATTGAATGGTGAATCAACACCTACATTACATAAATTTAGCAGAAAAATAGTAACATTGAGCCACTTACAGATTCACACGAAAGGAATAAAAGATTTGACGCAATATTATAAAAATACGATTGTCGACAGCCAAGTTCCGACGAGGAGACAGAAGACGGCGGCTCCGAGTGTGTGATCTGTATGTGCGACGTGCGCGACACTCTGATCCTGCCGTGTCGCCACCTGTGTCTGTGCAACTCGTGCGCGGACTCGCTGCGCTACCAGGCCAACAACTGCCCGATATGTCGCGCGCCATTCCGCGCGCTGCTGCAGATACGCGCGCTGCAACGACGCCCGGATAATGCACCCGCTGCACCCGCTGCAGCGCCCGATGTAAGTTATCCAAATCAGACTATCAAACTAGTCGTTTCAAATTATTGAGAGTTTCTTCGAAAACATTTAATAAATATTAAAGAAATTTTGGTCTTAAGAAAATTTATAACAATATTGATGATTAAATTATATCCCAGAGTCACTTCAAGGAATGCCAGACTAATTTCAAGCTACAACTGGGGCTCATAATCATAGTCATTACCTTTGTACGCGACCGACGACAAACTAGCGCAACTAACACTAACACTCATGCAGCAAAATTTCGATTTCGAAGAGACATTTTATGAGTGAAATATGAAAACACATCTCGTGTATTTGGTTTAAATGGTATTTAAGTAATATGTCGTCATTGCAGGGTAGCACAGAGAACATCCCAGCAGGCTACGAGCCAGTGTCCCTGCTGGAGGCGCTGAACGGTCCGCACCCGGCGCGCGCGCTGCCCGCGCCGCGCCCCGCGCCCGCCATCGCCAGCCCAGACACCGACACCGCCTCGCAGGTACCTTGTAGTCCGGTATTGACCAGTATACCAGTATACTGAGTTACCCAACCGGTTCTTCGATACATTTTGAACTTTGTCACTTTGAAGTAGAGTTAAGAAGAAACTTGTCGAGACAGTTGTACGGTAGTAAATGTAAAATAGTAAATTATTATGCTTATTGCAGGCAGCTGAGATATTGAACCGTTGCAACTTGGAGCGCAGTTCATCCACCAGCCTGGGCAGTAGTGGCAGTAGGAAGGCTAAGAGTGGCTCCAAGGATGATGTCAAGAGTGTCCGAGACAGGTCCGCTGCACAAACTGTCACTCCTGAGGTGAGGAAATTAATGCTAAGACAATTAGATTAATTAATTAATCATCATCATCATCATCATCAATTGCTGATGAGAGTTAACTACTAGACTGAGGGCCTGCTCCTTATCCACACTAATCTACATTTTTGAACAAACACCTAGCTTTACTGGAGGGCAGACTGACTAGACCAATTAATTTTTGACATCTCAAAAGTGTGTGGTAAATAAATGCTTTGACTTTGATACGTAATCCATTAGTCGGTTCTTACGAGACTTGCGGGAAGACTAGGGGTTTTGATGTGGTTAGAACTTATTATGAACTTATAACGTAACGTTGTGTACAGTTCCGTATGTCAGTGCTACTGGCGCGCGAAGAAGAAGCCAAGCGCGCCGAGGAGAAGGCGGCCGCAGCCAACAGCCCGCTACTCTACAATCATAAGATCGTCAATGGAGATAAGATCTCTAAGGTAAGTCTGGTAGGAATTTGTTTTAAACCTGTTTTATAAGACACAGGTAAACATATTATACATTACATATTAATATAGACTTAAAATATCAATTTCAAGTATGAAAGTTAAAATACATAAGTAATGAATTTGAAATTAAATACATGCGTAATTTCATTAAATTTCGCAAATGTGACTCAATTCTCGTGACCACATAATCAATGAGGTAGTAGGAACTAATTTTATTATAAACGGACATTTATTTTTAAAAACAATATACATAACACCACGCCTTTTTATCCCCGAAGGGGTAGGCAGAGGTGCACATTACGGCATTTAATGCCATTGTACAAT